AACATGATTGTGTTTACTAACCACACAATAAAAAACAATAAATATTAAAGAAACCATAAAACAATATAAATGGAATAAAATAAGTAATATAAAATTGGTGTGGCCCGCTGAATTTTACATTAAAATTTAGTTTTAGTTTTAATTTTATATTAAGTATAAATCTCCAAGTTTATATGTTTCAAAGTTGAAATCAACTAAAAATAGTAAACGAAAGATGTAAATATTTAATAATTAAAATCTGATTCAAGTTATTCTATTTGATTTCACATAGTCACCTCACCACAATGGAGTTAACAGAGATTTCCAATGCACAGAAAACAACCGTAAGCTCTAAAAATTCTGATTCTGACAGCTGATGTCTCTTGTTTCAGCATTTTAAATACTTTTGTGTAACATTTATTTTGAATGGGAGAAGAAAGTAATGTTCTGTTTTTATAATTATTATTTTTCATCCTAGATAAATGAAGGTAATGCCAGTTTATTACCTTATTATCAGCATATTTTTAATCTAGAAAAATATATTATTTTTGTAGATAGTAAAAATATTTTTGATATGGAATTTGACGATTCCTTGAAACTTCTGAAGTAGAAGTTCACCAGTCAATAACAGTTAGATATCATCAGGTTCGATAACCATAAGATTATACAAAATACACCACATCTCACATCAACAGTTAGTATAAGTGATGGACTGCTTCAGGTTGGTTACTCTCTTCTAGTTGGTTGATGGAGTTGTGTTATCCCTAGTTTGCTTTAATGTAGCCTTATGTTTTTCAATTCTAATGATGCTTAAGATGGAGAAACATTCCCTGGTAAATTAAATAATATTTAAGAAACTCAGAGCTTTGTATTTTTTAATAATATCTTTATAATAACACCTTTGTCTCCTTTTTTGAATTTTCGTTCCCAGTAATTAATTTCATTATTATTTTAATTTGATGATATTAGTTAGTAAATATACAGTGTTTTGATGTAGGTTGATATTCAGTCATTTTAGTTGAATTATTAGTACTTATATAAATTTTCATATAGCATATGATTCATTCCTCAAAGAATTTTAAAATAAATTTTGAATTATATTCTCTTGACACATAAAAAATGTGGAAAGAAAACAGTTCACACGTTCACGAATTCTATTTTTATAACTCAAACAGCTGTGTTACATTTCTGTTTCGTTTGGTCTTTTTATAGCCATTCCATTCGGTATTGGAGTTTATCATATTTTATAAGACAGACTACCCGTTGTATTTATAAAATATAAGCCGAAGTTATATCTGTTATGAGGACTACTTGGGTGGTTACCGCCGTGGTAGTAGTTTTTTAATTGGCCTAAGTAAACATAGAGGCCGGGCGTGGCGTGGTCCCAGCACGCAGGGTGCTCTTTGGATAATCAACTCATCACTCAGCCTCGTGGCTATTCTGCCTTCCTTAAGGGCACCGTAATAACAACATTAGTTCCTACCTCATGGTTTGGTCGACCTAGTCAGGCTCCGGATCTGGGTCGCTATCTTTCTGTCCTCCTTCCGGGCCCAGGGCTTTTATAGGTACTATTTCATTGATGAAAACTCAAAGACTCGCATGTCTAAGATGACACCCTTAGAGATTTTAGTTGAGGCGCATCCTTTACTTGAAACAATGAGGTATTCGAACGTAGTTGCCTACAAAACTTGGTTACAAATTCATTTCGTGATTTGAAGAAGAACCTTACAGAACTTTACGACTGTATCCTAAGCATTTACCAATCAACTTGACAATCTTGATAAAAATCTTTAAAAGAATGAAGAAGATTGACTCTGCAGATGGAAAAGTAAGAATGCTAAGGTAAGTATATTGGGTTGTGCCTTTACTCACCATTTCCTACTTCACATACATCGTTGAGACCTTTAATTTAATCATCTGATGTGTCCACAAAGACATTTCCTTTCCTGCCGATTTTAGATAAATTTATACAATTTTAATGATGTAGTGATGGTTGACCGTGATATAGTATGAGAAGGAGTTGATCGGAGGGTGCGGTCAAATAAATACTAAATTACACAAATCGTATTATTTAATTTTTGCCGACGTTTCGACCCACTTTTCAGGTCTTCATGAGGGTAGAGAGGAGGAGTTTAAAACTGAAGAGAACGAGGTCAACAACAAGATATAAACCCACAATCCATACGTCGCTGTTCCAGACTCAATGCAGATCAAAGAATGCACAACAAATGTCTTCCTCACATCAGAACCTCTCTGTTCTTCCCACTCGTCGCAGCATCAGATTTCAAAAACCTTCCGGAACTTTTCATCACTCAGCATCGATATCTAATCACTTCTCTTCACACTCTTCTTCTTCTTCGTTCAACAATTCTTCACATGATGACACATTGACCTCTTCAGTTTTAAACTCCTTCTCTCTACCCTGATGAAAACCTGCAAAGTGGGTCGAAACCTCGGCAAAATTAATTACTATTATTTTATTGAACAACCGATACTACTGACAACCATTAAAAAAATAACGCTTTATCATTGTAAATACAGGTTCCGTTATCTTTTTACTTTCCTACCGCTGTAGAATTCAGTGGCTTTATTTCGCCTTTTTGTAATTATTACCTTAATAAATAAATAATTAAAAAAATAAATCTCATAAGAAAAACATTAGAGAATCTGATTGAATGGAAATATAAAGTCAAATCCGTTGGAACATTACGGTCACATTTTTTTTTTTTTATTGAGGTTAAAAGTAAGTCCTATTCCTATAGACTTTATATAGACAGGTCCTATATGTTGGTATATACCAACGAAGTATATGTTGGTGAGGTAAAAGTTTAGCTGTGATTTTAAGTTGTTAGGTTTTTTCAATAAGTAAGGGAACAAATATTTCGAAGCATTTGCACAAGCCTAAGTGAAAAGCATGTACAAGGAAGCCTTTTAAAACCGGTTGTTTGTACGATCCGTTGGTTGAAATCATATAAGCAATCAAGAAAGACAGACAGCTTTGTGACGAATGGACATCTGGAGGATGGATGGACAGCTCTCAAGGAGGATGATTAATAGAAAATAACCTGGAACTCTTCTATAACGGATCCTAAATCTCCATTGGAAAAAAAGTACAAAAATAATTTCAACTTTGTTGATAAGACAGTAAAATGTTATCATTAAATCGTAATTACGAGGTGATGCTTTAAGATACTGGTCTTAATTTTGTTTTATTCAAAGCTAAAGTAAACAAATTTCTTGGACAGTTTTTATTTTTTCTATTCAAAATTTCTTATTAGTGAAATTTGTGATTATTTTGAAAACATTTTAACTTAAAATTTGTTTCAGAAAAAAATAACAACTATAAAAGCATGCTTCCTACAAATAATGATTGTTATTACAGTTTGTAATGTCCAACATTCTAATTTTTTTTTCTATTCTGTCATATTTTTAGCGACTATAGGAAAGAAGACTTTCATTCTTCAACTAAATTTGAATGAGAATATCTATTGAGGAAATAAAACCGAACTTTTCGTTTTGTCTGATGAAAAGGGGGCAGTCCGACAATGGGTTCATTGGCCCAGTGTTCATTTCAAGGTCAAAATAACGGAAACGATGTTTCTTCCTTGAGACGAATTTTTAATTGAACAAAAAACAAACAAATTTTGTTTCCGCATTTTTTGTGTATATTCATACCATGTAACTTTGTTTGTTTCAATAAATCAATTTAAGGAAATAGTGTTTAAACATTCACCTGGTATGAAACTGTTTTCAACAAATCTAAAAACGTTTCATTATTTTCACCTGTTGATTTCTTTTTTTTTTAGTCTTTCTAAAACTATCTTTTTTCTGAAAATTATATTTATTCAACGCAACATTATAACTGTGTGTGGTTTCTGAAGACGGGGATACCGGAGAGAACACCTCCTGGAGCGGAGGCTGATGAAACAATCGCCGCTGTAATTACTGGAAGACAGCTGGAGAAAAAGAAAAAGTTTCTTAACAATGGTCCATGTCATTGGAGTCCTATGAATTCCCTTTTCATGTACCGACCATTCCAGCTCCTTCCCCTACCTTGCCTTAGGCACAATTGATTATGTTACCGCATGCTTGTGCAGTTGTTTCAGAAGCAATCTTTTGTCTATTTCATTTTGCAATTAGCAGTGGCTAAGGATAAAAGAATCTCGGAGCGTTGAGGTTGATGGATTGAATTCTTCTCCCATGCCTCGAAATTCCATCTGTGTTATTATGGTTCCTATCTACTATAAATGACACATTTGCATAGCTCGGTCGCATTCGTTTGTTATGAGATTGTATAAATCATAGAAATTTACACCTTAGCAATGATATGTAGAAAACGAACTATTTCACCTCAGCATGACTGATTTACGTGATGTCTTGAAATAGTACTATTTTCATAAATATTCCGAACAGGAGCTGCGGATGTAATTTCTTTATTGATGTGTGTGTTTTTTACATTTATCACTATTCAATCTGGATTCATACCTGGCGATATAAAAATATCATTTTATCTTCGTTCAGTGAATTCCCGAAGACTGTATTCTGTAATTGAACTTACGTACACAGTTACTTTACATTTTAAATTTAGTTCAATTGAAATTTAAAACTAAAAAAATAATACTCCAATAACAATCCATACTCTATCATTTTTCGATTTGCTTCATAATTTCTCTCAAGACCCGTTCTGGATTCTCAATCTCAAAATCATTTCTGGGTTTTTTTTTTCTTTGTTTTTAGTTAATCTTGGTATATAGTTTATCTTTCCACGGAGCATCTGAAGAGGTTTCGAAAATTATTGGTTTTTCGAATAATTTTGAAAACTAACAAAGAGTTTATTTCCAGTGCATCTGAGAAAAATATATACTTTTAAAAACAAGGTTACAAATTAAAATAGCCAGTGCCTTTACCAATATTTGTCCGATTTTGATGAATTTTCGTTTTTTAGAAACTGAATTTAATTAAAAAATGATTACATAAAAAATTAACCATACAATTAATAATTTTTGTGTTATACAAAATATATGAATTTTAATATTAATGCTGCAAACTACGCAGAAACAGGTTGGAATCCGATCTACCAAACTAGGGCTGCACCCCATACATCAAAATGGACGGATATCATGTTCCCTGTCATGTGCCCACTTAGGTAATTAAAAGCTGTAAATATATTAATTACACCTTGATGTCAGTTTAAATTAATTTACTGTAGTACGTCCTTCAGAACGATTTGAAGTTCATGAATTAGTACAAACAGACAAGTTTAACCATCTAACGAATCTTTAACCATCCTCGTATATAATAATCTTATTTTCTCTTCCAATTCACACCATGAACTCTTATTTGTTGGCAATGCATTCATGGCCATTGCAGCAATTCAATAATCATTTCACGTTTGAACCTTAACACTTGTTTTCATTCAAAATCATGCGTTTAAATTTTATTAATTCATGTAGTATTGATGAATCATTTTCGATATTTTCAAGGACTTGTTAATCGAATTAGACAAAATATTTGTTTTCCTTTTTTTGATTGAACTAGAACATTTACAAGATATATTTTTTATCTGATGTGCATTAAAAGCGAATTATTTTTCTTTTTTTTCCTAAAAATTTCATATCGTCTATGGATTCCTTTATGTTCATTAGCTTAAGTAATATTGTAGCACTGCATAGAACAGTAGTATGGATAGAAACTAATAATTTTTTCTTACATGGCGATACTTTCTTTCTTTGAATATTTCATCGTATAATAATTTACTTTGAAGAGTTCCACGCATGAACAGTTCGCTCGTGATTGTCGCTCCAAGGAATTTCGATAGGATGGGTTAGCTAATTCTTCAAGTGGGTCCAAGAAGAAAGACCAACGATAGTCAAGTGGATCCTAAGAGCATCAGATAATTTTTAGTCGCTGTCAAAATATTCCAGACACAGTTTAGGCAATATTTGGACTGCTATGAGCCGAAATATTCTACTAATGACGTAACTTAAAATATTCTTTTACGGTGTCCTCACTTGCATTGATGATGTTATTCATACCATCACGTGTTTATCCCTGTTAATATCCTAAGCTTTAGTAAAGTAATCCAATACCATACGAGATCTTTTTTCCTGATTTCCGAGAGCTCGGAGCAAATGATGTTTAGCCGCCCTCACATTTTTTAGCTCCCCTCCCCCTTCGTAAAACGACCTGGATATTGTTTGGAGATATTATCGTGAAATAATTATTTATCGTCAAATATAAATGATTTTCTTTCTTAATTAATAAATGACTGTTGCAGTGTGTACAACTGAAGTTTTTTTTCCGTTCCTCAATTTTAATATCCTTTCTTCATATCTAGATTGTGTTCGCCCGGCATATACTGGCATTCTGGCTAAACGTCCAGTTTGTCTCTTTTTAAATCAAGGATGGTTTAAATAAATGAACAAAATACGAAGTGACCCGAAAAGATTTGTTTATGAAATAGATCTTGCCATTCTTTGGTCTGAAATTCAGGTTACCAATGGTGATCCCATGTCCGTAACCTTCCATTGTTGTTAGTTCGATTCGTCAATTAAATACTTGCAGCAATATGAAAGTCAATAAGACCTTTTAAATTTATGAAAATTATTTTCCATTCTACCTGGTTTTCTGCTTGCTGATATAGAATACGATTTGGTTTATAACGGTTACTTTGAGTCTTCACATCCAACATATAGACTTATTCGGTATGTTTTTTTTCTCTCCTTTTTTCCCTTTACTTGCTAGCCCACCATTTGGAGAGAGGAATTTCAGCTGCCATTTGGAGAGAGGAAGATTAGAGAAAAAACTAGAGGTTCAATCAAACTTGTACTAACAAGAGCGGGAAGGTCGAGATTCATTTCGTTAATCATCCAGGAAGTAAATATCTGCCTGCTCAGGCTGGATTGGAGAAACATTACAACGGGCAACAGTCTTATCACGACCTCTTCCTATTCGGCATGTATGCAAGGTTCAAAGACTATTCTGACCAGGTTATTCTAAGAATTTCCTTTTGAATCGAATGCTTGTATAGGTCCTGCTACCAATGGGCTTATGGTCAAATCGATACCGATCTGAAGAATGATGGCTCAGCTTCCTTTGTGACCATTAGACAAAAAGTAATTAGCTACCATAATAGCGTTAGCTCATCAGGCTATCAGGGGCCGGATCTGGCGGCGGAACTAGATAATGATGATAGAGGTCCCCACTGGAGGCAGATGTCGGTCGGGTTACCGTTCTACCATGCTGTGCTTGCTGCACCTGGGCCGAAGCAATCGGTCCTCAGCTTGAGTGCGAGGATACCGATCGGATGGGTAGCTAAAATGTTATCTTATCTTCTAAAAAGAAACATCTGCTCTTGCCAATTGACGGAATGCATTTTTGCGTCATCTTCAAAGAATCGACTGCAGCTTTCCCGATAGATATTCATAGATTCGTCTGTAATATTTCAGAGGATGACTTTTTTCAGCGAATCAGAAACTGGAGTATAATTCAGTGTGGGTTTTGAATCATATCACATTCGCTACTACAATTTAGCCTGTGATTGTGTCGGTAATTATTTCATTTAAGTTACTCAAATTTACAATAAAATGATGGATGGAAGAAGGAATGATTTAGACACACACTCAAAATATGTTAGGAATTTCTCTGATTTTTCTAAAGTAGTAGGAAAACAAGCGCTACATTTTAAAATTAAGTTTCTCATTCAAGCAATAAAATTAGTCATGGCTTCGAAAAATGATAAGCTTTGTTTTGAGACCCATGGAATCAGTGCAGCAGAAGGTAGATTATTTTTTTAAAATAATTTTAGCAAGTATTTCAAAAACAAACACTTCTGGTGTGCTAGGGAAACAAATTTCTGTATTACAAACTATCATCGAATTTGAGATCAAATATAAATATCAAGATTAATTTTGTATTTGTATTGCACTTGATTACAACTGCTTAACATTTATACAAACATTACCTATATTTAATGAGGAACTAGTTGTGTTGATTTTAATTAATATCTATATTTATTTATTTATTTCACACATGTCATGGTTCTTTGTAATAGCTGGGGACTCAATTAATTCAGCCAAATATTACATTAATATATTTTCAAGATTATTTTATATTAATAAATTTTCGAAAAATACTTGCCATGCTCAACATTACTGCCTGTTGCAATTTTTCTATTGTCAATTAACGGTAAGTCCAGTTGGCGCAAAGAAGATTAAGATTCCTCCAATATTAATCCATTGTATGAAGTTACCAATAGTAGTATCCGGCTTTCCTTTAAATCATACAGTTGTTTTAATTCTTCCCCTAATTATACATATTTTCTTTTTTTTCTGCCATTTATATTATTATTTTATGTTTTACTTACCTAAATAAACTATTTTGGAGCCCCCGGTGTTCATAAAGTCATATTAAAAATATCCTGACACTATTTTTATATAGTTGATATGATAATTAATAATATTTGAGTTCCTAAAGGTATTAAGATTTAAAACCGAAGTAAGTAGGCGCTTTTACTCTTCCTCAGGATGTCAGCGGTGTGGTCCTATTGAATTCAAATAGGAACCCGATGCCCACAATATCTCTCCATCTCAGCTTTACATATATGCTAACTCAACCAGTTTGTACTTCTTTATGTTTTGTCTTAAGCTTTGTTATATTACTCGCTTGAACATTATCAGTTCATCAGCTTCTTCGTCATCGAATCTGACGTTTTTCTCTCTTGAACAACAATCTCATTTTAGAATACTTCTTTTACTTCACCTAAATTAGTGAAAAATTCTTCAATACAGAAAATGAACCTAAGGTTTCTTGTCTATTCGATATATATGAAATAATAATTAATAATTAACATTACCAACAAACTTAATTTATATCAAACCAAGCGTGGATAATAAAGCAGTATTAATTGCATATCAGTGATTGTAGGCCTTATTAATGGTGTCTATTATGATACATTCGGGAGATAAAATTCTTCAAATGTTGCTGTTTACTTATACTTTCACTCTCATGAAATAGTTTGTTTACATGAATGAAAGTTATTTTTTATTTTATTTTTTTAAAGTAAAGCCGCTAAGTAACTAACAATAAAAAAAAATAGTATATCATTTGATTACTTCTAATTCAGAATTTCTAAAAACCAAGTATTACCATTACTTGTGTTGCCCAAATGCGAGACCGAGACAAGTCTTAATCTTGCAAACTCTGTCTTGGTCTTGTTCTTGGTTTTGCGCAAGACTCTCGCAACAGTCTTGTAGTTACTTATTAGCTTATTACTATAGAGTTAGTACTGTACTTTTATAGATAGGAGAAATTTAACTAAGCCCGAATGAAAAATTAGAGGAGTTAAACACAAAAGTATATTGGTTATAGCAATTATTAACATATAGTAACTAAAGTTTTCAAGTATTAGTAACTATTTTGCCTTAATTTTTATTTTTAAAAAAACATTTTTTTACCAGTCCTGGTCTCGGTCTTGGTCTTGCAACAGTTAGGCGGCTTTGGTCTTGGTCTTGCACTTTGCAAGAGTAAGACCGATTTTGGGCAACACTAACCATTACCATCAATGGTCTCGGACAGTTTGCTGTGTTGCATGGTTAGGTATAATTGGTGCGCCTCTCACCCTTAAGACAACGTTTTTAATGAGCCATGAAACTGTTTATTTATTAAAATATATTAGACAAAATACGTCATCTAAATAATTGTGCCATTAAGCTTTTCGAAATATACCTTGGTTCTATCGATGCCTCGGATATATCACGTTATAACAGGCTTATACCGAACAGATTATTGATCAACTAGTTACACCTTACAGATTATAGATATAAAAATAATAATAAAGAGCTCAGCGAACACGCTGCTGATGCTGATACCACAATTTGCTGTCTAAATACTTCCGTTGACCGACTTCCGCCCAAACCCAACTCCGCAAGATCAGCCTTAACTAAAGAACACATTCCTCCTACCTAGATTTACTTTTACCTCTTAGGAGTTCATTTGTGATGAACATTAATGATATACAAGATTTAAGCCCTACAACTTTGTACGCCCATAAAAATTTTCCTCTCAGTTATATTTACTGTTTACAGTAAATGTAATTACACGCAATTTGGTGTTGCCTCAATTTTCCGGTAATTCGTTCATCTTCGGTCCTATCATTTTACGCAGTACTTTATTTTCAAAAACCTTGAGCCGTTGCTCTTCCCGTAATGTCTATAACCGCTTATGTTTCGTAGTTGTAAAGAACAAAAGGATGAGAAATAGTTTTTTTTTAAAAAATGGTAAATTTTTTATTTGTTAGAAGAAGTGGATTATGACAGTATTTGGAGTAAATGCAGATATACTTAAAATAAAAAAAACTTCAAAATATTCATTATTTTTTTAACTTTGCATTACTCAATCAAATTTGTGATGTGTAGCAAACAGAATTAATGGCACATTAAATTAAAATCAAAACAAACTAAAATTTTAAAACAGTTTATCCCGTCTTGATCCGTCGACTTTAGAAACCATCCAATTTTTCAATGACTTTAATTTTAGTTGTAGTAACGTTTTGAAATTAGAATTCATCACTTCTGCATGTAATGAAAAAAAATGTTTGATACCTCATTCCTTAAAATTCATCGCTGCTGAGAGACGGAAAAGAGATATGACATACCGTATTATATATATTGTAGATAATTGAATGACTGATAATTACTTATTGGTATTAATTCATTTTCCTCTACCCTCAAAATTATTATATAACATTTCCATATGTCATCTTGTTTTCTGAGTTGGTTGCCATGTAATGAACAAATACAATAATGGATATGGGTCTGATAGAATAAGGTTACGAGTAACTCCGAATGATAAGAGAAGGGCAACGATAACGGGAGTGGTAGAAGCCTGAATAAAAGATGAGAGCCGCCGACCACGTGTCCTGGGCGTGGCTGCGGAAACACGCGGCATTTACCCCTCGCGCCTTTTCATCCAACCCATTCTTAATTTTATTTCCTTCATCATCAGATTTATTGCCTCGTCCGCTTCCTTCTTCCGCGGTTAATTGTCGGAGGGATGGTCTTCACACCTCCGATGTCGTCGGAAGCGTGTTTTTGAAGTCGTTTCGTGGCACATTCAAATATTAAGTAGTCACATCAGGCAACCATTCTTTCATGAATAGAATTCGATAAATTTTAATGATTAATATTTATATATATATATATATATATATATATATATATATATATATATATATATATAAACATTAATAATTTAACTGATGATAAAATAGAATCCGATGTTATAGTTCATGGGTCTCTAAAATAGTGCCCCGTGCAGGATGCGGCCCCCAAGATGCTCTAGTCCGATCTAGGAAAGTTTTTATGGTTATATGGAAGTATGACATACGCTAAATAATCTGAATTATCGTAACAATCAGCAATCTATTTGAAATATATAAAATGTAAAGTTGTGGTAGTTTATTCATTTTTATTTTATAACCTAATCTGGCATATGTATGTACTACATACTATGTAGTGCACTATAGAATTATTTTTAATATAATTCTCAAAATATGAAATTTAGTAAATCACTCAAACACAATGTCGCTACGACGTTTATTGCTTGACTTCTTTTCTCTTAGAAAGCTCATTTCAAAACTGCAGTCTCATTTATAGAAACATATATTTTCAATTTTTGTCAAAGATGCTATGAATCATAATTCTATTTTAGATTGGTTCACTGCGTATTTTGAACTCAGTTCCAAGCATAAGTCTTTTTAATTTTTTTTTTTTGTTTTTAAACTTCTTTATTGAGGTTTAACTGTCTGAGGAATGGTCTTCACACCTCCGATGTCGTCGGAAGTGTGGTTTTGAAGTCTTTTTGTGGCACATTCAAATATTAAATAGTTACATCAGACAACCATTATTTTCTGAATAGAATTCGATAAATTTTAATGATTAATACTTAAATGCACTATAGAATTATTTCTAATATAATTCTCAAAATATGAAATTTACTAAATCACTCAAACACAATGTCGCTACGACGTTTATTGCTTGACTTCTTTTCTCTTAGAAAGCTGATTTCAATACTGTAGTCTCATTTATAGAAACATATCTTTTCAGTTTTTGTCAAAGATGGTATGAATCACAATTTATATAATATACATGTATATATATATATATATATATATATATATATATAATATATATATATATATATATATATATATATATATATATATATATATATATTAATATTAATAATTTAACTGATGATAAGATAAAATCCGATGTTATAGTTCAGGGGTTTCCAAAATACGGTCCCGTGTAGGATGCGGCCCCCAAGATGCTCTACTCCGATCTAGGAAAGTTTTTATGGTTATATGGAAGTATGATATACGCCAAATAATCTGAATTATCGTAACAATCAGCTTGATTCAAACTTTCTTATATAAAGCAATGGCTTTCAAGCGACTGACCGGAGTTGTGTATTCAACCGAGGATTATCTATAATTTAAAATGGTTTCTAGCTGTCCTTCCGTTAAATGAAACTAGCGGTAGCTCATAGTCTATGAGTGGAACCTGAACATCTTGCAGTTTGTTGTGCGGAATTGTATTCCACCCATCAGTCTATTTTTTTAAAAGGTTGTCGCTACGTAACTTTGGTACTTTAGGAAAAATATTTCACACTATTTAAAACAACTTTTGAACATTTTTTGTTCTTTATGTAAAATCCGTAAAAGAGGATTTGAAATGCTGATTACCGGTTTTACATTAAATCATTGTGGATTGTGTAGTTGTAATAGACGAGCTGACCGACGACATAGAGACCTGCTTTGATTGAAGGATAGAACTCTTAAGAGTCCTTCACACCTCGGTGATGGACTCGTTTTTTCTTTAGGCCACTTCTCGACAAGACGTGCTTCACGGGTAACCAGTCCTATATCTTTTCTTTATTTTTATTCCAATCGCACCTTCACAATCTAGATTATATCATTCAAGTTGTTAACTTAGAGTTCATAAATTTTTTATCTATCAATACCCTCAGATTCCACCAAAATATATAATATTTTAGTGGTTTTTGTTGTCAATCTTGGACGTTAACTGTTATATTTAACGACTTATATGTTCTTTACAAGTCACTAGCACTATTTGTGGATAGTACTTTTGCTAGTCGACTTTTAAAACACTAATTTTATTTCAATGAGTTTTAATATAATTTATATTCATGATGATTGTATTGGATAACGGTTGTGATCAAATTCTTAGGCGTAATATAGAGCTCACCTGCTGTGAGGTAGATAAGAACAATATACTTTGTTCTCTAGAAGTGGTATATTGTATGTTCTCTGAAACGGTACATTAACTTGACACGTGCAGTACGCAGTAACTCAACAGTTGTTATATTTTTTTGAAATGATATCGAAATTAGACTTTATGCATTATTTTTTTTCTGAAATTCTTATTAAACTATCAGGACCTGGTAGTTGTTCATGATCGATGCTTGAAATCGAGATTTGGATAGATCTCAAGTATTATTTTATTTCACGAAACTTGTTTTCTGATTAGTTATTTAAATATAGACGTGGAAAATACTCAATTTACTCCTTAAATTTTCCGTTATTATTAGTGTTGCCCAAAATCGGTCTTGGTCTTGCACTTTGCAAGACCAAGACCAAGGCAGCCTAACTATTGCAAGACCAAGACCAGAACTGGTAAAAAAAATGGATTTTTTAAATAAAAATTAAGGCAAAATAGTTACTTATACTGGACAATCTTAGTTATTATATGTTAATAATTGGTATAAGCAATATACTTTTGCATTCAACTCTAATTTTTCATTCGGGCTTGGTTAGGTTTCTCCTATCTAAAAAATTACAGTAATATCTCTGTAGTAGTAAGCTAATAAGTAACTGCAAGACTGTTGCGAAAGTCTAGCGGAAGACCAAAACCATGACCGAGACTGGGTTTGCAAGACTAAGACTCGTCTCGGTCACGCATTTGGACAACACTAGTTATTATTAGGTGGATAAAAAAAACATGATCTACTATATCTCTTGCTTCGTAATTGCTTATTACGAATTATTATTATTAACGGTAATTGAAGCATGAGCTATTATGAGAGGAAAATTATATTCAAATTGACACTTAAAAATGATTTTTTTATAAAGTTGAAAAATTGAGATCCGACGAAGTCAGGCTTTGGTGTGGACCTAATACCTGTATACTGCTAGTCACACGAGGACAGGAAAGCATAAAGAATACTGACGTCCATCGTAAAGATCTTAGTACTGCAGCTGTTCTAGGCTCTAGACTTCACTCATTCGTACTTAATGCATCACTGAGTTAAAAATATTTTATTAATTCCTTTGAAAAATTATTTATAACTCGTGCATGTTATGTGTTTTCGGTGTTGCATTTGATAACGTTGATCATATTTATCAAAGCTTTTAAAATGTAGAGAAATCGGGTATTTGAATTTTAAATAGGTAGTCCTAAATAGAAAGATTTTTAAAAATGTGTAAGCTATAGTTAGCGTAGAAAAATAAACGTCTAGATTTGTACATTCATAAAACTTTGGTCTTAACTTCGTCTTAGTAGTTAGAACCGAGATCTGCAGTTACCCAAATTTCGCTAGGGCAATCCTGGGCCTATGGACTATCATTTTTTTGGTGGCTGAATTTAACAATACCTCTACCATCCAAATAAAATCAGTATTGTAAAAGCAACGGCCTATAGTTTAAGGTATTGAACTGAACGATCTCTCATTTAGGTTACACATTTAACAATACTACACACAATAACAATACTTTTCCAACTACTAAGTATTCCGATATTTACCAATCAGTAAATAATTTCGTACTTAATTGATTGTACCTAATTCATTAGAAGACAATAGAAGACATTTCTTCTCATTTTATGAATGAAATATCTGTATGATTTGCTTCACGAACACTGTATGAGGAAAAACGTTGCACCGTATAAAGAGTCGACAGACTTTTAAGAGCTTATCCTGTTCACAAAACCAGAAGAAGAAAGAATGGATAAAAAAATTCTAGTTGATTTTCTTCCTCTTTTTTACTCTTTGCCACAGTTTGTGAAAGCGTAAATCAAAAAGAATAACTTTTTGTGCATTGCTGTTTCTATAATAAGTTAACTTGATTTTTTTAATTTTATCTACGTTTTGTGGTTATGTTTTAGTTCAATATATTTTGTGTTCTTTTCACAAATAAACATGTGAGCTTTGAAGAAGGCCGGTTTTCAACTTTTGCATAATCATGGCCATTTCATTTATTAATAGTGAATACACAAAAGTTGGAATTATAACCAAAATTTTATGAATATATATTTTATTTTTCGTTCGCATTGGTCGATTTATGATTTACGGTTTTTGTACTAGTTAGTCGTAAGTATAGAATCCAAAGTTGCCCCCCAAAATTCTTACAACGTTCAATACAAATTTGATGGATCTCAAGGAGCTATGCATTTTTTCTTATGGCCACTCGAACACTTTTAGAAAGCTATCATTGCAGCCTTCGGTTTACTTTAGATCGCTCCTTCATTTACTGCTGTATAATCTGCTAAATATGCTTATACTTATATTATACTGCTCTATAGCTATGTTATCCTATATTAGTTAATCATTACGTTGCCATAACTCATAACCCAACAAAAAAGTATTTGTTCTGGTTTATTCATTTTACATCATTGCATAACAGTCACAGACTGAATAACGTTCTTTGAACTTTATCAGGCCCCATTTTCAAAACGATGTTCCTTTGTTCTAAGGGTAGTAAACATACCCGCAGCTCTACAGAATCAAGGATTTTTCATGTTCATGATTTCATTATGACCTAATTTCAATCGACCTTGACTTTTGTCGTAGCTACCTAACATAAGAGAAGAGTTAATTCATTATAAAATAAAATGAAATTCCCCCCTCCATCCATCGGAATGGGGTGATTCCATTTTAAAATCTTCAATAAAAAATTAAAACTGTAGTCTTAGATTTATATTATTTTTTATTAAATTTAGAATATTATATTACGGTTACATATTTAACTATGTATCCACTTTTGATTTTATGAGGAATAGCCGTAAAACCCACGTTATTTAATTATATATTTGCTTTCAGTGAGCTGTGATGATGACTACAAGGATCCATCCTATGCCGATGATGATGGAAACCAAGATGAAGACGACTTGGACGGAGAAGCCGACTCCTTACCGTCGAAAATAGTAAGTCAAGGAGGCAAGAAGACGTTTTCGATTGGTGATACCATTACGCTTCCCTGTGAAGTCCATAATAGAGGTTCGTAAGCTTGAAATATTTATTTAAATTTAATGCCTTTGAGTGATAATATTTCTCTAAAGTGTATCAGTTTGGATGATAATAATACACCAAAATAATATATATCCCATATTTTGAAATACCCAAATGTATAAAGTAGGTTACAACTAAACTACAGTATAGCCTCGATAATCCAAACTGTGATTGTCTGAACAAACAGATTTTTTAAAATTTAATATTAATCAGAAAAATAAATTATTTTGCATGCTCTGTCTCAATTTGTAGCTCAAAAATTTTGGTCTGCATATATGTTATTTGGAATTATAAATAAAACTAAGCTGAAGTAAAATATGCATCAATGAGGGGAAAATACTAAAATATTTCATCATGTGCATTTTGCAGATAATTCCGTTTAAATGCTGGACACAAATGCCCGCACCCGTTCGAGCCACCCCACGATTGTATGAAGTACTTTATCGATGAATTCAAAGTTTGAATTTCAAACATGGCGCCAAAACTAGTTCCCATGTGCTACTGTTACCTTATCTAAGCACTAGCGGATCCAGGATTTTATTTTTGGGGGAGGGCTTCAGCCTGAAAGTTTTTTTTTCCATATATATAGCGATAATTACTTAGGGAAAAAAGGAATATACTAACTACCTATATGAAATGGTTTTGAAGTGATTCTTGAAGTCTTATTAAATGTAATTACACGAATAATAATACTTTAAGAGATAATTTTTTACCATAAACATGGTGACATTTTACCATTTTTGGGGAGGAGGGCCTTTCGGACTGAAGCCCCTCTCCCCGTGGATTCGCCTAAGTGTATGTTTGGTTTCATCTTAAATATATTTCATACGGCCATGCTGCTCGTACTCGATGCGGGCGATATATATTTTTCTTTTTCATCAAAACTTTCTTCCCCTTTTAGGCTATACGGGGTTTTTCGCGGGTCAGAGGAGAGGATGGGGCATTATGCCTAAAGAAGCTCTCCCCCCCGACACCGGGACGCTTAATCGTAATTATTTTATCAACAAAATTTCGAATTATCAGATTGCTGAGAAGAGGGTTATGTAAACATATTTCTGGATTAGTGTTAATTAGGGCCGATGATTTTTTTTTTTTAATTTGTAATGAACCTGGCATTTTTATGAAATTGAATGAAGTTTTTATTTTCTTATTATTAACTAATTTTATAAACTTGATTTCGCAAATATTTTTTCCATCTCTGTAAATAGTGAATATATATTTCTAAGGTAATTTTTATCATATTGATTTTATCAATGTTCCGCAATGACACTGGGCCGAAAAAGTCTGTGAACACACACATTGAATTTTATTATATTAATTTTATCAGATTTTTTTTCTTTCTATATACCATTTTATTCTATATATAATAGGAATATTCAGTTTGATATTTTTGTGATCATTAATTATTCATCAAACTATTGAGTCCTCTTTGTTCGTTCTCATGACAAAAAAAGTTTGTAAAAATTATAATTTCAAACACAATAATTAATGTTTTGCCAATTATTAGTGTTTTACTACTTCCTTAAAATGCCAAAGGGCAGTGTAAGGATAAAGCAACAACAAATATATTTATATATTGCATGTAATTATATTGCAATAGCTTACAAATAAAATGGAGGTTAAGAAAAAAAAAATGTTTTACTAAATCATTGGTGGGTAAGAAAAAAAAATGATTTTCTCTGTGATGTAGATTATTTGGATCTCTTTTTTTTCTTCTGACTTCAAATTTAAGGTCTTCCGAGGACCCTACCACCTCAGCAGTAATTTTTCACAGTTTTATTCCATTCTTCCTCAACAAATTCTTATTTTCACTTACCCATTAAGAATTATAAAGTAAGGGAAAGTATTAAGATCGTGAAAGGAATCTGAGTTTTCAACGGAAATACAAGTTTTGAGCTTCCCTGAGTCCAAAAAAATAAGTTTCGGGAAATGTGTGCCTGTGAATGTGTGTGCAGGGTGGGTGTCACTCTCAAAAATTGTTGGTGTGGTGTATAATTTCATTATAAAATTTCTATATTGATATTTTCTCAGAAATTATATTTAATACTACCTACTAATCTATAATGATAGTGTTCATTATTTGTTTATTTAATAATAGATTAAGTGATAAGTTTTATATGTATTTCATGCTAAAGTGGCTAACTGAAGTTCTAAATTCAAATTGTTTGTTTTTAGAAATTGAAAAATGAACTTGGTCTTAATTATCAATACAACTATTCTTAACTCAAGTTAGACACTAGTAGTGTGAAGATATTGGCAGTTGGTACATATTTCAAATTTATTATTGTTTTTGTTTTAATCTGTAAATAGCTAGCGCTGTTATTCAGTGGCGCCGAGGACCCAGAAAGGCTGCTAAACCATTGTTTTTCGATCGCGTTCCTCAGACCACCAATCCCAGGTTTGATTTGGATGACCAGTACAGCCTCCACATCAAAGATCTTCAGGAAGATGATGCTGATGAGTACTACTGCCAGATCATTGGCAAAGATGATATACTTGTTTATACCGTAGAAGTTTTAAGTGAGTATAAATTTTTTCTTTACCATACATTTTTCATTGTACTATATGTAATAGCTGATTGCAATTGTTTCTAGGACAAAATAATAGGAATCAATATTGTCCATTGAATCGGCATTTTCTAGCTTCTTTGTGTTTCACAGCTAATGGATTGTCATATCATCAAATGAATCACTTCATAAAAAATTGGCATCAGTAATTTTTGTATTTATTTTTCGGGAAAAGATAAGGAAAAAAAAATTTTAAACCTCAGTTTTATCATTGTTTTTATGATTATAAATTATATACCACCCTTGACTGATCTTCTTTTTTGGTATGGTGAATTATAGAGTTTAAAATAAATAACTAACATGACTATTATAAGCTACATAAAATTAAATATCTTCCTATTGAAGGATTTTATATATGTACACTAGTATTTTATATATTTTTCCTTAATTGTTTACAGCGAAACCAAAAATTCTGCGGTTATACCCTGAAGGAACATCGAAAACTTTAAAGAAAGGAAGCCCACTTACTCTTATGTGTGAAGCTGTAGGTGAACCCAAACCAAAGATTTCATGGACTCACAAAGTAATAAACTTTTTTAATATGATCCAAAAAGGAATAAATATCTAACTTGAGTTTTGTAAAAAAAAAAAAAAAAATGTGGAATTTTACTTGTTGGTTTTAAATGCATAACATTAAATCCATAAAACTGTGATTAAATGCACTGTTCTCATGTTCTATTTATATATATATACAACTTATCATTTCATACAATGTTCATATTGAGTTACGATATAAGGAATAAAATAGCTTTTCCTTTTATAATAATTCTAAAAAAACTTTATTATGATTATGTAGGTAACATTCTCCATATTAATATGAAATGTATTTATAGAACTTTTTTTATTTTGAATAAAAGTGCATGGTGAATTTAAAATAGTTAAACAGTATAAAAAATAGTAAAAAAAACAATTATAATATGTAAGTTTCATATTTTTTTTTTCAGAAAAAACATTCCCATGTGGAAGAATCTTTCTCTGATGACTCTATTACAATTGACAAAGTGTCTAGAAAGCATAGCGGTGATTACACATGTACAGTTAACAATGGAAAAGGAACTGACAAACAAACTATTACAGTTATAGTTGAATGTAAGCTCATTAGTTTATTTATTTTAATTTTATACTTTTATTTAAAGTACTTCTTTTATAGTTAATAAGTGTTTCACATTTAAAGTCTTAATAAAATTAAGTGAAATAGCTAAAAGTTTTATTTTTCATAAAATAAAATACGTCTGGATTTAATCAAGATTTTTATAAAGTATTGTTCACAATTCATAAAATTAGCCTAATTCTCTACAGTTTAAAATATTCAAATGTAGTCCTATTACTTTTACTTGATTCCAACTTTTACTTATAAAAGTTTTTATTACTTGTATTTAATTTATTATAAAGAAAGAAAAATGTTCACAGAAAAAAGTGTTTCTTTTATTACAGAAAACATACACATAAGTGGGGCCGTGAGAGTTAAGTGGGGTATAGCGCTTGCTTGGGGTAATCAAAGTTATGCAACATTGAGCATCAGTTGATGGATGAACACCTGCCAAAAAACCATCCTATCCGAGATCATCCTCTCCTAACTTCTTGGCTATGTGAGGTCTCACTAAGACTAGTCGTAGGAATTATGGATCCTGTGAACTTTAATTTATAATCACTATAAATCTAGACCGATTTGCCACTGTCCTTGAACACAAGCTAGCCGGTTGGGAAAACGCTATCGGGTGGCTCAAAGGAATCAGCTATGGATCTATGGGTAGCTTGGCTCTACACCATGGAGCTATGGTTTGTAGAAATGTGGGGTTGGATAACCCCTTCAAGGCTATCTGTGCTCCCACAAGGAATATTTGTCTGTCCACATTGCTCGGCCAAAGATCTACATGGTCTTTAGCATCAACTCAAGAAAATATATATATAAATTTGAAATCTCTTTGAATCTTCTTTAAGTATTTCTCATTATTCATGAGTTACCCTTTACATTTTGAGGTAAAAAGAGCTTATGTTAGATTAAAAAAAACTTTATGATTAGCATTATCTTCCCAAATCATTAAGAATCATGTTGTTGTTGTTTATACTCCTTTTTTCTGCTGCTTGTTTTTATATATTGGCTGCATCATCTCTGAAAGATTTATTACTGGGAAAAGATTCACATTATATATTTCCATCTACATAAAGAACCGAAAGTTAAAATATTGATCTTAAACATAATGAAGGAATCTGCTTCCAGTTGTATTTCAGTTTCTTCTGTATGCGGACGATATTGTCCTGATTGCTAATTCTGTGGAGAAATTATAGCAGGCAGTTGACGAATGGAATGAGGAACTCCTCAGGAAGGGTATGTTCATCAGTACAAGAAAGAGCAAGATCCTACAGGTTGGAAGGGTGCAGGGAGATGTTACAGTGTATTGCAACAGAGAGGTGATGGAAGTTGTGTCAGATTTCACCTACCTTGGTTCTGTTATGGATCGGTCTGGGAAAGTGGATTCAGAAATTCTGCACAGGATAAGCAAAGCAAACGCTATATATTACCAGATCTGCAATACTGTGGTAATATTGGAAAGAGAGAAATGAGCAGAGGTGTAAAACTGCACATATTTAAGGCAGTATACTTGCCTATACTCCTGTATGGTGCAGAAAGCTGGGTACTGACTGACAAACTTGAGAGAAAAATCACTGCTGCAGAAATGAGGTTTCTCCGAAGGATCGCAGGGAAACCGAGACGGGACTGCATTCGCAACGAGAGAATCAGGGAGGAATTGGGGGTTCCCCCGATGAAGGATGTCCTAAAGACTCGGCAGCTTAAGTGGTTTGGGCATGTCATCAGGATGGAAGAACACAGAGATCCATTAAAGTCTATGGACTACGTCCCCAATGGCAGAAGACCCCGTGGCAGACCGAGAATGTGGTACCTCGAATACGTAGACCGCTTGTGCAAAAATAGAAATAAAAATATTAGCCAAGTCAGAAATATTGCAAGAAACAGGGAAAATTGGCAATCCGGTTAGACACTCCCCTACGCTGAAAGGCACTACAGGGTGATGCAAAAGAAGAAGAAGATCTTAAACATGCATAATAACATTTTTTTATATATAATTTACAAATAAATTTATAAATAATTGCTACCATGATATTTAATATTATTTTTCAGATGAACCAGAAATTGAAATCAATAGTGAAGTTGTTCATTCAGGAGAAGGTTACGAATCAGAATTGACATGTGTTGTACATGCTCATCCTGGTGCTAAGGTAAGTTATTATTCATTTATTTTGTAAGATCTTTAAATGCTAGAGTACCGATATGGTGTTTTTCTTGCATAATAAATTTTCGTTATGATGATATTTTTATTGTGGTAGTTTTATTATTTATTAAGGAAATAAATAATAAAAATAAAAATGAGAATGAAGTAACTTAAACATTTTAGAAAATATAAAATTTTTTTTTGTTTAATTTTGTTTTTTTAATAGAAAGATAAAAAAATATAGAATATTTAATAGTTGGCCTATGCATTATTAATGAGATGACCATCTCCTTCCTTAATAAAAAAATATATCTTTAAAAATTACTGTTCTGCTTATTGTTAATAAACTTAATGACTTGTAGTCAATATCTATTTATTTAGATTATCCTTTCTTCAATTAATACTATTTCTTGGAAAATTTTGAATAATATTGTAAATTAACTTTAGGTTACTTGGTTTAAAAATGATCAACCATTAAAAGAATCACATCATATTTCTCAAGTCAAAAATGGAAGCAGCCACAGCCTTCGAATTTCAGCTACTAAAAAGACAGACTTTGGAAATTATAAATGTGTTGCTAACAATTCCATTGGGACTACTTCCAAAGCTATTGCTCTCTCTGGTATGTGTGTATAAAAATCTTCCTTTTATTTTAATTGAATTTTATTTGTTATTATTCAATAATATTAGATATTACTAATACAAAAGGTTTTACATTTTGAATAACACTTCTATTATCTCTTCTCATAATTTCAAATATTTTGATTTGGTACAGGTTTATTTTTATTAATATATCGATTATTAGATGCTTAAAACCATCTTAGAGTTTGGTTTTTCATGGAAAAGGTCAAATACTTATCTTATTGAGCCTTCTACTTGGTTTATCTTGAAAGAGAAAAAACTTCTAGGAAGTAACATCTTTGGTCTGTTACCCTCATTACATGAAACAATAACTTTTTTCATGAGTAATCTGCGATGAGTAATAAGTAATAAAACATTTTTAAAACTACAGGTAAGGCTGATTAATTTTCTCCAGTTTAAATTTCAGTCCAGAAGCTCTGTAGAAAATGATAATGTGATTCTGTTTTAATTCAAGCTCTCCTGAATTTTATTATTTAGTAGCCTTAAATGTTATTTATAACTTTTATCAGGAAGCTAAAGCTCTGTGTGTAAAAGAGATTCCCATGTTCCAAGTTTCTTCTATTTATTGTCAGATTGTCAATCAGAGTGGTTTGGTCAAAGGTAGAAAGAATTTTAAAATTATTTAAGATTATCCTAATTTCTGTGCCTTACTTTACCTAATAATTATTTCCAGCTTATATATACATAAACATTGCAAAACTAAAATAAATTTAATCTATTTGATAATCTCAGACTATATGAATAATTTTACTACAATGTAATATTTTCTCTCCCACCTTGACAATACTCCTCTCCCCTGGATATGTACTTTACTAAAAAATAAATATATGATGGAATGGGGATAATGCCACTTAATCCACCTCTTTAGAAAGGTCTTTGAGGAATGCATGTAACAACATTAAAAAAATCAACAAACTAATTATTAAACCAATCAGATCAAATTTGACATTTTTAGTAAAGTACAATAATTTTATTTGTCTGTACTATAGTAAAATACTTATTTTTTTATAGTACGGTTATTTTTTACATTGGTTGCACTTATCATTAGGACCCCAATAATTTCCATTAAGTTAACTGTTGATTTCGCAATATTAATTCTTGTGTCACTTTATTGGAATAATTTAAATTTTCATAGTTTATGGTTTTAGTTTGTTATGTTTATTTTAATCTATGCTAATTAAATAATTTATATCTTAAATTAATAAGCAGATGCTTATTATACATCTGTTAATTATTGGTTAGTAAAAAATAAATGATTTTTGCAATTATACTAGAGGTAGGCAATATTATATTTTAATACACATGTGTATGAACAAACTTTACAGCAGTTTCATAATAAATCAGTTATGATCCAGAAATGTGTTTTTTCCTTCTTTGAAAAAAACTAAAAGATATTAATGAGTGTATTATTTTATGTTTCTCAGAAAATGCATTTGTTTTGCAAAACGTGGAGATGTAGACATTTTAGCATTACATGTGCTTATTCTAATAATTTATACAATTGGTAAATTCATTTTTGTTACTCAGAACAAATAATTTTAAGTTAAAAATACTTACACTGATTTTTTTCAATTGTGTCTTATTTTCACTTTTTTAATAACGATCTTTATTTTAGGATGATGTTATATAACTTAATAACTGAATGGATTATTTCAGAAAAGACATTTCCACAATTTTAAAACCAAGCAAAAATTATTTTTACTAAAATGTTCTTAGATAAAAGTCTACAAAAATTTATGCCATAAACAATCGATCTCTGAACTCTTTATGCTATGTGTTTTCTTGCATTAAAAGATGTGCTTATATTCAATGAACAAGTTAACTCAAAACAGACAAAAATTAAACATGTGTCATTTCTGAAATAACCGATTATTTTATATTGCAAATACTTTTTATCAGGTCAATTGCCTTAATTTTTTTTTTTTTTAATTATGGTTCATTTAATAGTATAATAAAATATCACTTGAAAACTTTTAAATGTGAAGTGTTGAAATCCAATAGGCTTATTTGATGTAACTTTATCAATGACCATAAATAAAAGTTAATCTTTTAAAATAAAAAAGTTTCTCTTTCTTTGTCTTTCTACCCTGAGTGCATTTCAGCATGAGGGTGCATTAAGCTTGGTTTGCCAATTCTCTCTATGATAAGCTTCCTCATACCATTCAAGGTTTCACCCCTAGTTTTTCTCAGTCATTACAATTTTTTTGGGAAAATTCAGTTTTGGACAACCTCTTGGTCTCTTGCCAGATGGACGATATTCTAATATCTTGAACAGATCACAGCTGCAGGAAATATGAATTTCCTATTGGGTCCTATCCACCTGTAAGATTTTAGTTTATGTTATATTTTCATACCCTCCCTTGTAAGTTCTTCGTACCATTCTATGGTTGCTTATTGTAATTTTGGCTGGGAGGATGAAATTAGAATTATGTGATACTCATAAAAAAATGTTTGTACGACAAACGACATAGGATCCATTGCCTGAGATGTATTTTCTGTATTTTCCAGATTTGATACAGAGACAACTTTTGCCATATATAATTTAAAGATTAATGGTATTCAGTATTTTTATTTGACATTAGAGGAGATTCCAGAAGATTTCTATTTTGAAAGATGTGGTTATACCTCAATTTCAAAAATTTTCATCAAACTGATAACACCTATTATCAGCTTATATTGTTGCTCTTGCCTTAACTTCCCTTTCAATATTATTATTTCCATTAATAGTATTGTTTAATACTTAACCTTTGGTATTCTCTCAGAAGGGTATCTATGTTTGACACTAAAATTGCCCAATGTTTTTTTTTTTATATGCTAGGTAGATGAAAATAATTTTTTTACCATAATGATAAATCAATATTATTTATATTCAATCAATATGTTATGTGTATAGTTTAAATATAATTAATTATCTATTTGATTTTCTCCAAGTGTTACTAATGATGAGTTAAAAAATAAATCTTCAAACTTCATTACATCTTATGACCTTAAATACATTACTATAAGAAAAAAACTAATAAAATAAATTAGTAAACTTACATCCTTTTCAATCAAATCAGATAAATTTAACAATATTAGTTAGTAATAAACAAAATTTTTGAATCAAAATTATTTTATTTTAATTTTTGTAAATATACTTATAAACAAATTAGAACATTTTATAACTTGTTAATTATCTATTGGTATTATATATTTCCAATTTTATATTAAAGTATCTTTACAGGTTTAGAGCCTGGAAATGCCCAAAATCAAATAAACATAGGTAATTTCTTGCTTTAAATGGATGCATTATCACACAGTTTTGATGTGTTCGCACTTTGCTGAATTTCTCACTTTTCAAAACATTTAAAGTTTTTAAAACAAAACTTTTAGTAATAAAAAAGACTAATGTACACATCACTGTATCAACTCTTGAGAAGAACTAATTAATAGATTCCTTATTATTTTCAGCCAATCTTCATTTTTGTATTACTACAATAAAGGAACAGATATATTATTTACATCCTCTTCCATTTCTTCTTGAAGTTAATTTAAAAAAAAAATTATGATTGTTATTAATCAGAGTACTTAAAATCAATAAAAATAAGAAAGATTCAAAGGATATAACTTTAATTGGCATTAATCGTGTTATATTTTTATATTTCTAAAACAAGAATACAGTAAACCATACTTATCCAACTCATTCGATGGTTAATATGGATTTTGTAAAAGGAAAACTATTTCAATATAAATATAACTCATATATTGGGTGAAAATTAAAATATAATCCAAAAATGAATCTATAGGTCATATTTATATTAATCTCTGACAAACTACAATTTATTATAACATTAAATAAAAATTTCTTTAGATATACAATTTAATTTTTGTGTCCAAACAATCATTTTGCTTTTAATTCTATTATTTTGCACTCAATATCCCTTATTATTTCAGAAAAAAAAAAATTCAAAAATTCATTTTATTTTTTATTCACAGGTCAAGATTTGCTGTTGTAAAAACAACTTTCTCTTTTGTATGGTAGTGACATTTTAATTTAATTCTATTCATAATGGTAAATGATAAAACTAGTTGGCTTTGTGAAAAATGTCTTCCTTTTTACTGCTGATTGATCTGATGGGTTGGTTAAGCAGGGTTCTACTGTGCTAGATTAATTTTTTTTTTATGTCCCCAATGGAATTTCAGTCATATTGTGTTGACTTGATTCTAAAGATTTCTTTTCTTTTGTTTTTTAATACAATAATAGAAAATAAATCTGATTTCAGTCATTTAGAGCTTTTATGTTTCTTCATTTTTATAAATCATTAAAGTTTCAATCGGAAGAATTTTCGCACACTTAGTTGAGAGGAGGTCTTCAACAAGAGTTTAATGCCCATTGGAATTTCTTATTAAACACCTATATTAAAATTTAAAAACTTTTAATTGTTTATATAATCAAAAAAATTTTGTTTTAAATCTGTCCATGTTCATTAATTGGTAGAAAAAACATAATTAATCCATGTGAAGTTATAAATTCACCAATGTTTCATCACCTAATTTTTTACTCACCATAAAAACAGACTAATGCCAAAGTGTGTTAATAACGATAAGCAGTGTGTGTTCTAATATCTCTTGACAGAATAGATTTCTATTATTAATGCTTTGTTTGGCTTACAAAACTTTTATGTTATTGATAATCCAAGTGTAGCTCTGAAGCACTATTTTTTTATTAGTAACAACCTCTATATAATTTATTGTTTATAATCTTCATTTAATGTTAGAATTTCTTTTTTTCTTTTTCTTTTAAATCTGGTTCAGGGTTTTGAAAATAGCATGAAATTATGTCTAAAAATAATTTTGGAACCACTATTGATTATTAGATTTGGTGTACTAAAAACTTTTAAAACGTAAAATGTTATTTGAGATCTTGATATAATATTTCTCAATTTTCAGTCTTATTTCTGAATATAAGTGATATATAAGTGAATAATATCTCAACAAATGTATTAAAGTTTAAATATTAGTGCTTTCAAAAAATTAACTAAAATTATTACATTATTTCAAGCTGAACAAATTTATTATTTGTATGAATAACAAATGTTACTTAAAAAGTACTAAAAATATATAATGTAACAAAATTATGTATATTATGTAGGTCTGCCACCAACTCCTGTTTTTGAAAGTACTACCAGTGCTGAAGATGGAAAAAGCCCTCGTCTAACTTGGAAAGTGATTAGTCGTTCTCCGATTGAGCAATTTGAGCTTATGTATAGAAAGCAGGAGGTAAAATTTTAATAAGTTAATTTACTTCAGAAATCTTTTATTTTATTGTTATAAGTTAATACAACAGTCATTAATAAAAAAACAAAACAATTTTGTAACAAAATTGGGTTAGTTGTAAGACATATTTAAATAAACTTTCTCACATATATCATTGTATTATACCAGGAGCCCATGACCAAAGACACATACACCACAATAAAGCATTGTAGTTGCAGAAGTGGCACAAGGCCTGATAAGTGATTTTTTTCAAAATTTTTGTTCTTAATTTTGTTATTTAAAAAAAAAAAGTAAAAAGCCAAGTTCTACTTCTTAGTTAAAAGAGTATTTTAGACATGACATGTTTGATATATAAAAAAAATGTATCCTTATACATACGTTTTATTGTATAAGTAATAGTTAATAGTTTAAAAATATTTTTTAATATGAATTCCAAAATCAACAAAATATTAATTTGTTTATAGTTATAATTTTGACTTATTTTTTTATAATTTTTTTTCTAAAATATTTAAGTTCCATATTTAGAATATCTCATCATTTTATTATATTATTAAATAATGCAAATCCTTAGAAAAAAATGTATTATAAAAAAAATGATAATTATAATCATTGTTTCTTTGCTAAATATGAAACAGTAATTTACCCTGCATTATATTTTAGGATGATCAGTGGAAAACTGCCTCTCCATTAGTTACAACTGAAGGTGAAAGCATTTACATTGCAAGGTATACTTTAAAAAATTTAGAACAAGGTACTTACTTTGCTAAAATTAGAGCCAAGAACAGCTATGGATGGTCTTCACTTTCTGAAATGAAATCTTTCTCAGGAGGTTTGTATTATAATCTTTACTTGATATACATTAATTCTTGAATTAGCAATTGCTAAGATTTAATTTAATCTTTTTTTTTTTCATTTGCGCTATTTAAATTTAGTTCAGTAATAGATAAACATTTAATTGTGTAAGCATTATTTTTATTTTATTTATTTTTTGCATTAGTGAACAGTTTATAAATGATTGAGAATGACATTTTAAGAATTACTCTATTGAATCCATTATTTATTTAAATTTATTTCCTTACTTCTATTTGACATATAATATTTATGGCCACAACTCTTGACTCACTGACCAGTAGGTTTCTGATCTTATATTTAAATTACAAACTTTGAAACAAAAAAAAAAATTCTTATCTAACTTCAAATATTAGTCTGGTCAATCGCACAGCTTGATCATTCTTGTTGAGCACCATTACTTTTTTTACTGTTAGAAGCACAAAAATAATAATAATTAAAGATTGGACTGATTAGATCTTCCAAATGTTAAAAACAATACTTAAGTTTCTTGATAAATATTATTAAAATATTATCATTATTCAGAGAATGTGCTTTCTTATTATTTTAAAGTGAGATTTAAATTAGTTTATTAGTATTTTGAAATACTGAAGGAAAAACGTAAAATTGTTATTTTTATATTCTATTAAGTATCATTGCATTACCATTAGTAAGGTTAAGACAACATAATCTATCGAGCAAAACTAGATATTTTTCATCCTTGCTGAAGAGAAATAATTTCAAATATTGTATTGATTTGTACACTCCTTAACCTATTCGGCAGTATGCATGTAAGCCGATGAAGTATTCTGAATATGTCACTAATCATCATCACCATAATGACCATGAAGATTGCTCACACTCGTCATTAATAAACATTTTAACGACATTTAGGATTCATTTAATCATTATTATTGGTGCTCAGGGTGATTTTTGAGATTTAAACATATTCCACTATATTTTATGACATATAATAAGTTATGAACTAATGAACACACACTTGGTAATCTGAAATGTAGCACTAATTTATTTTGAAGTCTAAAAATCTATTTTCCTAAATTTTACTCACCAAATTCTATATTATTGGAAAGAATTAGGGTGCCATTAATATGTCTACTCTAACCTTTCTTTTTATCAATTTATTACTTATTTATAACTAAGTGCACAATTTTATTTTGCTTATTATAACATCACGCTTCTTCATCATTTATTTGGTTTCCTTTTCACCTTTAATTACAGATGTTATTGGAGAAGGAAGTGCCATGCAGTCTAAATTAGGTAAGTTGTTAATAATATGTTTTTATTATGTTTGATAAATTTGCAATAAATAAAAAATTGCTTTATATGCCATTGATGAATGAATCAATAACTGCATCTAATTTAATAATCTGTAATTAACTAATCTTTATTATATATTAAAGGTTTCAATAGTTTGTCCAAAACTAATTGGCTATGGAAAAATGAGATTACTATATGACAGGGTAGGCAACTCATTTTCCATATTCAATTGATATGGTAAACAGCAGGGTTAGGCATTAGTTGACTGAAAATTTATTCGTCTAAAAAAGCGACTAAATTTTGAGCTAGAATTTTTAACCATGAATAATTGTTATAAAAAATTATAAAAAATAAATAAAAACTGAATAATAATACATTTAAAGTTGTCATCATCCTTGTATATAAATGTGAACAGTTCGCACTACTACTGCCGCACCACTCACAGATTTCAATTTTCATCTTCTTAAATTAAATCCTATTATCGCAAAAAAAAAAAAACTAAAGAAACATTTAACTAACAATAATGATTTTCAATAAGACCAATAAATTAATGAGTTTTGAAATGTGATAGATTAGGTGAAGGGAGCTAAACTTTTTCCAAACCTATGTTATTGAAATATACTTTATTTTAAAAATAAAATGGCTAATAAAACCAATAAAATACATACACCTTTATGTACTAAAATTTGGGACTTTTATTCTGACAAAGTTTTAACTGTTCTACAATTCAAATTTATATTGAATTAAAAAAAAAATTGATAAATTTTTAAACAAAACAATTAATTTATTTTTTAACAAATCAAATAAGTTTCATTTTACTATAGATGTGAACTTTTTTTTGGAAAAATCAATCAATAAATGTTAATTCATAAATTTAGTTTTGAAAAATTGTCTATAATCTTTTTAAGAACATTTTGGAGACATAATTTTTATTTATATATTGAATTTGGTACTTCTTCACTAGCAGGCCAGGACCGACTGCTATCTGCCAATGTTTATAACCTGAACACTGATAATTCAGATAAGGCAGTGATAAGCCTTCTCATAATTCCTATCTTTGTATTATTGTATTATATTTGTATTATTGAAAGTTTAAACAGAAACAAAAACAAATGTAATAACAAAAGAAAAAATTATTTTATTTCACGACACATATATTAATTAAATAATAAAAAAAACACTTAAAGAAGATATGTACATATAAAAGATCAAAATGAAATAATGAAAAAACACTTAAAGAACATATGTACACATAAAAGAAAAAATATCATCACAATAAACGACATATGTACAATTTATTTTCACTTCGTCTTCTTTATTTTGGTACGCAAAATAGTTTTATGCTAAATAAAATAGCGAGAAACGGGTCCTGTTCTTTGTGAACCCGCCGTTTTTCACATGATTTCACATCTGCAAGTATCCCAATGTTTTGAAAATATTCAATGGCCTGTTCTTCTGAAAACAGTAAATCCCAGAATGTAATAAGATTCATAATTCATAATAAACTAAAAAAAAAAAAATGAAAAATAAACACACACGGGCCAAAAATAAATAATTTAATAAGTGAATGTAATAAGGGAATAACTGAAAAATAAACAATGTAATAACTGAAAGGTTAGATGGTATAAGAAAATGGAGGTTATGTGACATGCATTAGATAACATAGATAAGAATTGAGGTTTCGACCCGGCCTGCTAGTGAAGAAGTACCTTGATTTTTTATCATTATGTTCTTTTAACAACAAATTTTCACAATATTTCATTTTAAAAGTTGGAGGAGTTGATATCTTCAGAGCATGAGTCTTATAGATTAGTTATTATTATCAATTTATTATTATTACCAATAATATGGTTAGATTCCCAGAACTTATCTTCATTATGTTTTCTGAGTGAACACACATTTTTCCTCTGTTCCGTATAATATTTGTCAAAAAACATCCTGAACATAATTTCTTTTTCAATTAGTGAAGAATCTATAGACTCTGGTATTTTTTTAAGGTTTCCATCACAAGTTCAATGGTGTTTAAATTGGTATGGTAAGACAAAAGGTAGATGGAAATATGACCATTTGACTTTATAATTTTGTCAAATTTGAAGAACTTATCAGTATCAAAGCTGTTTTGACCTAAGAAAAGTCACAGTGAACCATTAAATAAAAATTAAAATAATCCAACATTTCGAAAAAATAAGGAGCCCAGATAGTTGTAAAAACAATAAAATTATATTTTTTACATATATATTTATAATTATTGTGATTTATATTATAGATATAATTTTTTGACTTGCAAATAGGCAAAATTGTCCAAAACATCATCACGAGATTGCAATGAATTAAAGCATTAAGTGAATGTATAAGGGTTAAAATAAATTTGTTTTCCTCTATATTATAAATTTTATTTATTTATTTGTAACTTTAGACAATTTTGAAGATTTAATGAAAAAATAAAAATCCGATATTCAAAAAGAGGAAAACTAATGTCAAATTTGTCATGTTGTCATAAAAAAAACAAAAACAATAACTCATATTTCAATACCGCAGAGTATTGCTTCTAGATAAATAAAATTTCTGATGAATGATCATTAATAATAGTTTATTGTTATATTTCAATTTTTCTTTTGAAACTTGATTATAAATAATTTTGTATTCATAATTTTTCTTGTTTTATCAAGCGCTATAACTATCTGATTATTTTTATTTTTGTTGTGAATTTGTTTTTACACCTAACATACTTATTAGATTTAGGTATATTCTATTTCATATTTGTATTTAAATGTTATTTCAGTAAAAAAATTCTAACTAGCATCTCAACCAATGCTGCTGTAATTGTATAAATATCTGATGTTTGTGTACTTTTATAAATCATACTTTTATTTTCACTTACCCATTTATGAAATACATAGTATTGCAATAGTGAAAAAATTTGAATCCAAATTTTCAAGGGAAATAAATCTTTTCCTTAGAGTTCAAATAACCTAGTCTTACTAAAAGGTATGTGTGTTTAAACATCATATCTAAAAAACAAAAAGATACATGACATTGAAATTACCTATTTAAGTTAAATACATGCCTTGGATGTAACATCAATATTTTACACATTTTTCTCAAAAACCCCTCTAGTGAATTTTGTTGAATCAATGTAAAAATAAATGGTCTCATCCTCATTGAAGTAGTCAGACCTTGCTTCAGTGTCCAATTTTCAAAATTTTGTCCTCTAATTTTGTTTATTAGTGAAAAAAGGTTTTGATTGTAATACATATTATATATAATATAAGAGGTTGATAATAAATTTTATTGTTTTTATTTTTTAGAAGAATCAATGGATTCGGCTGCATGCAACCAAGAGATCAGGTTATCTCTAGTTTTTATGATGTCTCTTTTTGTTGGATATCTGTTCTCATAAGCATTAAAGGTAAATAATCTTTAAATGTGTTTAGTGTTAATAATTTCTTTATTTGAAATTTATGTGAAAATAAAAATGACATAGTAATATTTGAAGTGCTCTATTGTCTAGTCTTCTTTTTTAATAATTTATTTGCTTGAATAATAAATATTCTTATTTGAAATATAAAAATTAAAACATAACTGTCTAATCAGCATCTTGGGACTTCCTAAAACAGGTTTCTCAAAGAATCCCAATATTGATTTTTAATTTGTTTGATATTGTTAATAAACCATTATTCTAGGTAATCAAATACTAAATAAATTTACTTTGACTGGTCTCTTTATAAGAATAAATATAGATTAATTATTGATTTGTTTCATTTTAGTGCACAACAGTGAACTGGTCTGATCAATGAAATGAACCAGAAGAAAGACTATCGGAAGAATGAGAATGCCTTCAAACCTTTACCAAGCTTCTCTAAAATGCTTACTTTGTCGAGGGATCAGTAATAAAATTAAATTATTATATTTGTTGCTTTAAATAAATCAATACTTTTCAAATCAATAATTTGTAATTGCATTCTCTTTTTTGTCTCTTTCTTCTTCATTTATCTGAAAGAGCTTTTATAAAAAAAATTATTTGTGTTAAATATGACATTTAAATTATTGTAATTAGTATATGTATAGTCTTCCTAGTGTTGGATATAACTTTTACCTAGTGAGCAATCAAATTTATTTATTGAAAAAAAGTTCCGTTAACACAAATCCTTAATTGCATTAAGATTATGGGCTATTATGTACAAAAAATATATATTATTCAGATCTTTTATGTATGAAAATTTGTTTGATTGAGTACCAGACATCTGTAAATTTAAGATGCCATATATCTATTTTTTTTTTTCATCCTTAAAATCAAATATTTCGATCATTAAATATATATACATGAATTGTTAATAAGTAATCGGAACATTTAAAACCAAAGTATTTGTTTTGTATAAAAATTGTTGTGAATATTCAATATATACCACATGTTATAGTTTATAATTATTTTTAAGTATGTTAATAGAATCTTAACTAGAATAGGATAGCTGTGTGAGTGTCCCTTTTTATTCAAGCTTCTAAAATATTCAGAATAATGAATATTGATGAATAACTTAATCTGTGAAGTAATTCAAATACCCATTTATATTCCTTATTTAAATTTACTTATTGTTTTTTGGTCATATCACATGATTTTGAATTTAGATCGATTTCTTCTCTGGCAGAAATTAAATTTTTTATGATTTATTTTTCCAATATTCATTATTAATTTTAACACAGGTGCCTTTTCGAATCATTGCACAAAATTTCTCTTACCATTTGAAATATTTTTATATGAATATAAAGTTATCAGAGTTATAGTCCCTCATAAAAGAACACCAGGTGAAGTTAGCCACGCCATAACATACCTTCGTGTTAAGCTTTTCACATAGTTGTTCCTTACCTAGGTCACTTAATAAATTAATTAGCATAACTTTTTGAATGTTAACTTCATATAAAAGATTATTTACTAGTATCTATTAAAATAATTGATCGAATGGTTTATGGAAATTTATTTTTATTTTATGGCAAGGTGTTATGTGGAATATATGAGTACAGAGAGAAATGTTAGTGAACAGGTAGTCTTGTGGTGGGGGGGAGGGAGGAGGGATAGTTATTTCATCAATATCTGTGAGTAGGAAAGACCATAGTAGGACCATTTAACAAAATTAACAATTTTTAGAAGTAGGATGATAAGTGAAAGTGTTCATATTTTGATGTATTCATCATTTTTTTTTTTTTTTTTTTTTGTATAAATATGTTAGATTGAAAAATATGAATGTAAAATCATATATGGAATGTACTATTTCAAATCTCATGATTTTTAACGGCTACTTTTAGCCTTTTATTTAATTTTTGTAATATATAATTTATGTATATTTTAATAAAACACCTTTTATCTGGTATTCAAGGAGCCTTATAGTGTGTACAATTTAAGGTTGTCAGGAAAAAGTTGTGAGAACTTTTCTGCTATACTGACTCAATTTTGTAAATATGAATTGTTGTTGTCGAGGTGGGTTTTGCACCATTGTATAGTTAGGATGTACGAAAGATATATTGTATTTAGTGGCTTATAATATAATAAAATAAATTAAACAAATATATTTTTCTTTGATATACATTCCTTCACACTTTCCAGTGCATGCATTAAATATCTTCTATTAACCAAATATACTTTAAAAGTTTGTCACTCGATTTGCTGGAAATCGTTAAAAACAAAATATTACATTCCACAATAATCAGGAAACAGTTAGTATTTTATTCTCAAATTAGTGCTTTTACTTTCTTTTTAATTCAACTTTATTATTAAAAAATATTGCAACACTCGTTTGGGTAATGGTGGCTCAAATAAATTCTCAGAATCAGTTGCAAATTGAAAACAACTTTAAAGACACCTTTGTTTTTAGTTTTGTGTTGTTTTTTTTCTGTTGGCTTTACGTTGCACCCTAAAATCCACAAAGATGTCCAAAAAAATGGAGTTATTTTTTTTGCATAAGTTTGTTTAAAATGCTATTTTGATTCATCTTGCAACATCTTCACTTTCAAAAATGCATTTTAACGTTTTTATTCAACTTTTAAAAAATGTGATACATGCCTTCCCTGCCACACATAGCAATGCAAAATTTAATTATATGTAAATGTAAAATGTGAGAAACTAAGATTTATTTGTTTAATAGACAGAGATTCACACATACCAAAATCAGCATTCAGTAAAAAACAAAATTAAAAAAAGGATGAAATATTTGTAAAATTAACTTATTAACATTTATATTATGTATACAACATTGAAATAGAATATAAATAAGATCGTGGATATGACACAAATAACAGAGAAAGGCCATACCTTGGGTTCAGTATGAATCTGCAATTGGTAGATTCCAAATGGTCAGAATCCGGAATGACTGCACTGAGTTGGCTATAGAGGACTAATGAATGCACCGACCCTAACCACAAGTCAAATGGTAAAGGTGGGGCTTGCTCCTATCTGTTTAAGTGATGACTGTCCAGGCAGGAAGGCATATATCCCGGCCACACCAAACAAATTATCTTCCATTACTGCAAATTTGTATTATATTTGGTACCATCTTTTACTGAGCATTATTATAAATGATCCCACTTTGAGCTGGCAGACTAGTGAAAACTCAATGCTGAGGATGGACATTATAATTGTGTATGACTAATTTTTCTTCAAATAAGTCACAAAATTTGGACTATAGGACTTAGTTAATCAGCATTCGAATCCATCTCCCTGTTTTATGAACTTTGAAGACTTTAGATACTTCTCCTTTTTTCAGGATTCAACATTTAGGATCATTTGTTGAAGTCTTCATCAATCTCGTGGCTTAATCATGTCATTCCAAAGACACTTTCTGTCCATGGAACCATAATTGAAATTGATATGCATGTCCTGAGCTACTTCCCTTAATTTTTTGAGTATAGGATTAAGATCTTGTACAGCATGCTCCTTTCGCTGCTGAATCAAGCTTGGTAGTCACCTATTATATTTTCGTAATACATAAATATTCCATTCAACAGGATATTCATCATTATCATGTAAGCCACAGGGAGGAGTGGTATGCCTCTGTAGTAAACTACACTCATCCTTCTTTAGATTAGGGCATATTAGACCCAGGTTCTAATCCCCTGATATCCTTTTCTCCTCCCATATTTGATGGATTAGTTGTAGTAGTTTGATCTGAGGGTCTAGGGTTTGTATCTGTTTGAGCACCAGTTTCTACACTGCATGGTGAGATTATTGAATAAGAAGAAGTTTGGCTCCTGACTCTTCCCCCCAGTCTGAACAGTTTAAAACCTTTTGATAGCATATATAAAATAAATACAAAGGAAAATTATTGCGACCATTAAAATATTTTAATCAAAGTTTTCAATAGAAATGTTTTAAGATCCTCTGAGTAAAAAAAAAACTAAAATGGTCTGTGAACAGGCTTGCTCAAAAGTGAAAAATTGTACAAAACTGGCATTAAGTATTTAAGATAGGTATATGCTTTTTTGCTCAAATGCTACTTTCATGCGATCGATCTATTAGTGGCATTTTCCATTGACTTTACACATTTTTCTAAAAAATGGCTGGACAAATTTTGATTTACCTCATTAAATAAATGTAACAATTATAGAAGTAAAACAGGCAAGGCTTTGGACAAAGGTGGACTGAAGACTTCTCAGAATCGCTAAACACATAGCAGAATGATAATGAAGATGGTATAGCGGAAGTAAAGGAGGAAAATTTGATAAGCTATCCACAACCGCTCGTTGAAAATCGAGATACAGATTTAGTTCATCTTAAATGATTAATGATCCCTTATGGTACTTAATAACAAAAATTAGATAAATATAAACTATGAAATTAACTGATAGTTAAATAAAAGAGAAATAAGGTATGAAGTGGACAGAGAAACACCAAATACCAGAACGAGCTTAACCTTGGCCCAAAGCTTAGGAAAGCTTCCAAACATAACATAAATACATATACAGATGTGGTTTTCACAAATTCTAGCTCTAGTATTAATATTTAATTAAATATATTAAGGGAATTTGAAAATTAAAATTTATGTATTTATACTTACTTGTACTTAAACAATTATTAGTACCGATAATGAAATGTGGATAAATATAGTCATCATGACCACATTCCTGATCCCATTACCGTAGCGCAGTGTAGGCTATATCTTGTAGAGCTTGGACCAGGTTTCCCTTTCTTGAGCCAACTCTCTTCTCTTACTCCAATCCATACATCGCTTCCTGAACACCTCTTGTACACTGTCTTCCCAGGATAAGCGTGGTGTTCCTCTAGGTCTCCTTCCCTCCACACGGGTCTCATATGGCTTCCTGGCTGTTCTCTCTTGATCCATTCTAAGAAGATGTCCGAACCATCTTAGCTTGTGCTCCTCTAGGATGGTTTCAGCTGGTTTGACCTCGAGGCTAGTTCGTATAGTGGCGTTCCATATCCTATCTCTTCTGACCTTTCCCTCGATCTTCCGAAGATATCACATTTCCCTGGCTTGAATTCAGCTTTTGTGTTTCGAGGTGAGGATCCACGATTCAGAGGAGTACGAAAGGATAGGGAGAAATGTTGATTTGTAAACTGCTACTTTAGTTCGCTTCGTTATCTCTCTTCTGCCAAGAAATCCCCTCCGGATCAGATAGAACACTCTGTCAGCTGCCCCGATTCTTTTACTCACCTCTTCATCGACATAACCACTTTTGTTGAGATGAGCACCCAGATACTGGAAATTATCTACCTGCTCCAATCTCTCACCACTTGCTCTCATCACCCTCATTATTCTCTTTCTTCCCTATTCTCATGCATTAAGTTTTCCCCGGGTTAATCTTCATGTTTATCGGGGCTATTTCTTCCTGGAGGATGTTGATGTTGTATTGGAGGTCTCGATCGTTGGCAGCTAGCAAGACTAGATCGTCAGCGAATACCAGCACAAAGAATCTTGTCGGTTGCAGTTTTGGTGTCCTAACTGGAACTTTTTCATCCTTACTTTAGCCATTCTAAGTGCCATGTCTAAAACTATTACGAACAGTATCAGGCTTAAGCGATGACCTTGGCGAATACCTAATGTCGTCTCAAATTCTTCTGAAATGTGGTTCATGGTCCTAACCACATTTCTGGTCTTGTTATATAGACTCATCACAGCCAAAATCGTTCCATGATCGGTCCCTCTTTCAGACACTGCCCGCTCTATATATTCCATCCTCACTCTGTCGAAAGCCTTTTGGAGGTCCACGAAACAGACGAAAAGCTCCTTATTCTTCTCGACAGTCTTTTCTGTAATTTGTCGCATTGTGAAGATAAAATCCTGTGTACTTCGCTGTCCTCTGAAGCCGTATTGTTCTTCCCCGAGCTGACTATCGACCAACCTTCTTACCCATGTCTCCAGTATTCTGGAATAAACTATGCTGGGTACACTGAGAAGTGATATTCCTCGATGATTCCCACACTCTCTATTATATCCTTTCTTATAAATGGGCACGATCACTGCAACTTTCCAGTCTTTCAGAATTTTCTTTTCTTTCCAAATTAGGTTCAGAAGATGGAGGAATATCTCTTGGCCTTTGCTACCCATGAACTTAATCATTTCGGCAGTGATTTCGTCAAGTCCTGCTGTCTTGCCTAGCTTGATCTTCTTGATAGCTTCTTGCAGGTCCTCCTCACTGATGTAATCATCTTTGACCCAAACATTCTCTACTTTGCTCCGATTCTCACACATCTCTTTATCTCTACCCTCAAGCAATTCTTTAAAATAGTCCCTTCATCTTTCTATAATCAGTTACTCCTGCCAGATGATCTCCCCATTGTTATCTTTGATTCCTTTAAGCGAAGTCGGTCAGTCCCTTCTCATTCCTTTGAGGACTTTATAAAAGATTTTCTGATTTTTCCTGGTATTTTCCTCAAGTTGTTGACCAAAATCCTCCCAAGATTTCCTTTTTGCTTCAAGCACTTTTAACTTGGCATCTTTTCTCAGATATTTGTACACTTGGTCAACTTCAGGATTTCTAAGGCTTAGATGGTTCTTCCAAGCTTTCTTCTTTTCTTAGATGGCCTTTCTTACATCTTCTGTCCACCAGGCTGTTCTTCTAGGACCAGATCCAACACCCTTTTCACCGCAGACCAATTTTGATGCATCAAGGAGGATCTTCCTAAAAGCTGCCCAGCTCCTGTCAATGTCATCGCAGTCCCAATGTCTGTTGTTGTCTAGGGCCATTCTTTCTATTTCTTCTTGAAAATAGGTTGCCAAGTCATCCTGCTTTAAGCGATATGATTTTATGAACTTTTTCTTGGAGTTCTTATTTCTTTTTCGTGGTTTGAACTCGTTCTAACATCTATTGATTATCAGCAGATAATGATCACTGCCTATCTCAAATCCTCGCTTAACCCTTGCATCCATTACTCCTCGCATTTCTTCTCTGTTGACCAAAATATAGTTATTAATAGATTTTTCATTTCTTCTCTCGTAAATCTATGACATTCTTTATGCCGAAAAAAAGTATTTGTTGCCATCAGATCATTTGCCTCACAGAAGTTCAGAAATCTGTGGCCATTGTCGTTTATGAATCCCTCACCATATTTTCCTAAGGTTCCCGGTCATCTCTCGGAGCTACAACCGACTCTTCCATTCAGACCCCTTACAATTATGGGTGTGCCTTCGCAGTAATCAACTTCTCTTTGAAATCAACTATAGAAGACACCTTTTTCATCAGAGTTAGTACTATCGTTTGGCCCATAAGCGACTATTACTGAATGAATTTTTTCTCCCTCCAGAATGTCCAGCACCATTATTCTGCTACTTACAAATTTCCATGTTTTTATTACGGAAGCCAAGTCATTGTGGAACAAGAATCCAACTCCACAGGCTGCTCTCTCATCGTTGTTGACACCAGAGAATAGGAGAGTGTAATTTTGAATCTTCAATAGCCCTTTTTCTTTCTTCTTTGTTTCTGTAATGCCTAAAAGATCTACTTTGGTTTTTTGAATCTCCTCCACAAGCTGGCACTCCTTCCCGTTCAGGCCACGAACGTTCCAAGTCGCCATTCTAAATAACCGTTTTCCACGCCGCGTCGATTTCCGTAAAGACAATTCAGCTCTTAAGATAAATATAGTAGCGCCCTTTATCACTGAAACTCTTGTTAGATTAAAAATAATTTGTGACACTCATATGATTAAACTATATAGTTGTAGAAGGAAGTGGAGTGACAAAATATGCATACATTTAAAATATTAGAGAAGTTTTGAGGCATTCATATACAAGATGTTACATTCCTTGTATTTATTCAAGTTTTCTAAAAATATTTTTTGTACTTCAACTGGAAGTGCCATATCCTTTCTACAGCCCGCGATTAAAGTATCTATACTTGGTGTGGTATGGGTCCATAGGGGATTATTATATCTAGCACAACTAGAGCATTTTCTATTTTTATTTCCGAAAAGGCATTGAGAAGTACTTCTATAATGTTTTTCTCCTTCCTATTACCCACTAACTCACTACAGAATAATATTTTATTTAGTATATTTTTTTGGATCTTAATCTTAAACTCATGCTTCATTATCGTGAACAGCCTTCTGAAATATAGAGGAGGTTCACCAGCTTCTGCACATAGGCTTTCTGTAGGGGAGGTTAACAATGTTCCAGTGCAAATTCTTAATGCAGTGTTGTGCACCACATTCAGCATTCTTAAAGTTTTGTGTGAAGCATATCCGTAAATGATTGAACTATAGTCCAGTTTGCTTCTGATGGTCGCATAATGTATATTCAATAGGCCTTTTCTATTCGATCTCAAGGCCATGTGCGATACACATTTTGAGGCACTTTTTTAAAAGTAGTTTTATGTGAATTGACCGTCTAATCGAGTGATATAATTGCATACCCAAATACTTAAGGCTGTAAAGGAATGGAATTTCAGCACCAACCAGTAGGTTTAGGTTGAGTGTGCACTCCCTTAGTCTGCAGAAGTGCATGGCGCTGGTTTTACTAGCAGATAGTCTAAAACCACTCTATATTGACCATATTTCTATGCTATCTAGTGCTTCTTTCATCTCCCAGTTTAAAAATTCTATTAATTTGGTTCGAAAGAGCAGAAGTATGCGGTCTGCATGGATAATGGTTTTCACAGACTTGACGGAGACGGCATCTATGTCATTTATTGCGATCTGAAAGAGGTTCATGTTAGCGGAAACCCCTGAGGGGTGCCGTTCTCTATTGTGTAAATAGAGGATTCTGAGGTTCCAACTTTTACACTAAATTCTCTATTTTTTAGAAAGTATTTTTGTAATTCCATAATTTTTCTTTGATGTTCCATCTTCTGAGCAGGAGATACCTAATTATTTAAATATAATATCATATTTAGAGTTATTAAACTACAGCAAAAGTATTTCAGGTTGTAAACATATCCATGAAATATTTTTATATTTCACTTATTCTTCCACACAAGTACAATTAAATAGTATTTTAAATAATGGCATTGGCATGATTCGATGGATTTAAACATTTTTTTTCAAACTTAGAAAAAACTTAAAAGTTTAAATTTAGTACGAAAATTTCATTTAATTTCATTGGAAACATGTGATTTAGGTTAAATAATGTTAGTTTTCTGAAATTATTATTTATATGTTTTGGTCACTCTTTTATATGTTGTAGTTGTCTTGATTTATATGTTGTATTTAATATTATAATTTCTAAAATTCTGAGCTTTCCAACGATTTATTATTCGTATAACTACTAACTGTTGTTTCCTGAGATTCATTTTCAACCTCGATATGCATTTTTCTTTTTTTCTCCAGTTTCCAATTATCACATTCTTTCAAACTTCATATTTAGCCATTTTTTGCAGTTATTGTCAATAAAAGAGAGATAACTTTTTTAAATAAACCATATTACCGGTACTTTAGAAAAAGACGTATATGAACATTGGGCATTTAAGCCCTGTAAAGTGACATCAATGGGGATAAGACCTGAATGATATCAACGATCACTTAATTATACAATGATACACGGAGTTTAATCAATATCATAAGTCGTTTTTGAGAAAATTGTAAAAATGTGTTTCACCGTTGATACAAAGTTGCTCTTCCGGTTAGCCGATTTTAAGGGAAAAGTTGCTATAAAATCTAAGGCATATACCTATTTTAAATACGTAATATCAATTTCGTACGACTTTTCGTTTTTGAGCTAGACTTACAACATACAGTGGCCAAAAAGAGTATTCGTACACCATATTTCTTAGACAAAACTCTTTTTATTTATGTTTTCAACATGAAGCAACTAAAAATAACAAATAGAAATTTCCTTTTGCATTAATTGTACAAAAAAGTAAAATTTTATAACTCATATTGTATAAAAAATATTCAAAGATGAAGCGCAAAATTCATTTAATAAATCATTCCGAGTGGAACAGGAATGTTTTCGGATTTTCAAATCCAGCAGCACTCATAAATTTTCAATTGCATTAAGATCCGGTGATTGTTGAGGTGTTTTGAGCGTTTTTCAAACATTATATAGCAGCCATTCTTTGGTTTTATTGGCCGTGTGCTTGAGATCGTCGTTCTGTTGAAACATATATGTGTCCTGCATTCCTAACTTTTGTGCACTTTTATTGGAATTGCATCGCAATTCAATCACATATTTGTCAGCATTCATAATCCCTTCAATAAAGGCTAGTTCACCAACTCCTTTCTCACTAATACAACCCCAAAGCATGGCACTGTCCCCTCTGTGCTTCACTGTGCATTGTAGATTTTGGGGTTCAAATGCCTTTCTTTTTTTGCTCCAAAAATATTTTTTCCCATCAGATCCAAATATATTATACTTGCTTCATCGAAAACAACACATTTCTCCAAAAGGTGTAAGGTGCAAACTCCAGTCTTTTTTTCCTGTTTTTCCGTTTATAAAAGTTTTATTCTTACCGCTCTGCCTCTATAGTCAGCTTCATGTAGCCGATTCCTCATGGTTCGAGGTCTTAAATATTTCCCATTAGCTGACGCGATGTGAGCCGAAACTTCTCGAGCACTTAATTTGGAATTTTTTACCACTTTACGTACAATTTCACGAGATTCTCGCTCTGCGAACAAGCGTTTTCTTCCTGAGCGGGGTTTATTGTCCACTGATCCGTTTTTAAATTTTTTTATAATTTAATGCACTGTCGTATGAGGTAGTCTGAACTTTTTTTCCAATATTTCGCAAACTTAAACCCTGTTGAAAATGTTGTACAATGTCATGTTTAAGATGAGAATTCAATTCTTTGGATCTACGACCCATTTTCAAAAAATATTCCTTAATACTGAACTGAACAAGTAATTTCTTGTGCAGTTTTATCGTTTTATTCTCTGACATAACACACCCACACGCACGCACGCACACAGATTTCCGTTGAAAACTCAGATTAGAAAGTTTTCACGATTGCAATACTTATCCTTACTATTTATTTCATAAGTGAAAGTAAAAATAAAATAAATTAATGATAAATGAATCCATAGATAATAAAGAGAGTTTCTAAAAAAATTGCATTTAGACATTTCACAAACTATGGGATCAACAAAAATATAATTGGTTATATTACTAAGTTAATATTTTTGTTACTTGATTTTTGATATTTTCCTTCTGTTGTCGGTGTCAAGAGAAATCAAAAATAAATAGTTTACTTTAGCAACAATGTCGCTATTAGTCAAGTTAGATAAACGTTTTCCTAATAGTTTGTGAAATATCTAAACATACCTTTAGAGTAAATTGTATTTAAAAAAAAGTTCACAATTAACTGAAATATTGCATTGGTTTTAGTTTTTTTCAGAGCTAACAACAATTTTACTCTTTGTATTTTACGAGATAATTGAAAACCTTATAGAAACATATGAACCTATAACCTACCATGTCATGGCTTTCGAGTAATGGTTAATTTAAGTAATTGTTTTACATTCTGAGTCAATAGTTTGCAGCGTTTAATTAATTCAAGTTAACGTCTGAAGTCTCCTAAAAAGGTTTATTGAGAAGTATTTTAAAATAGTTGACTATGGTGAAGAATAATACAGGTAGATCACTAGATTTGTCTATTGTTTTATTAGTTGATTGCAATCATTTCCTTAATTAATTTTTCAACTCAGTTATCTTTAAGACATCAAATGTTTTCACTCATTATTGCACAGTGTTGGACATAACAATTGTTATCAACAGTCTGAATGTAATAAGTATTAAAATTATTGAAGGAAGTTAGTCGACTGTTCTATATACCATGGGTGATAAATATTCAGAACGCAGTCATTATGAAGTGTTTATTGGTGTTGACGTTTCAAGTAAAACATGTGGATCATCATCATGGCATTCATGCACTTCATTCATCAGGGCTCACTGTACATTACTTGCTGTACTGCTGCGTACAATACTTGAACACATTCAGTGCTCGAAACACGTCCTAGTGACCCACATGGTCGGGTTGAAACGTTGGCACCAATAAAAACTTTATAATGACTGCATCCTGAATATTTACCACCATAATATTAAAATTACTTATTAATATTAAAATACACAACGAAAGATTCCCTGGGTCTAAACACACCATTACTCAGCAAAATATTACAATTTGAAAGCAATACTAAGCTAACTATTCAATAAGTAGCAATCATAAAATATTTAAAAAAAACTAGCTATTAAAAAAGTCCATTATTCCAACTACATACATACATGCACAATATACTCAAATGCTTCCGAATCAAGCTGTGCCTCTTCTTTCTCTGGCTTACCTGGATAACACCCGATAATGCTTTGTTCTCCTTGGGATTATAGTGGTTCTTAATGTAATTTTATCATATTATGCTTGAAGGTAGTACTAGGAATTTTGAAGTTTTTGCTAATTGCTAAGTTAACAGCCCTTTGACCATTCTCATTGGTATGTTCGTGTAGAAGCTATGTCTGCCTACTGATCTTCCTAGGTTAGCCTCTTTCTCAATCTTGCTATTGAAATCTTCTAGTTCTATTTTAGCATCACACTTAAGAATTTGATCAAAAGTTATTTTCAGCTTGTCATATTTTGGAATCCTAAAAAATTATTACTGTTGACATATGCATTCAGACTCAAACATAGTGATTTTCACAGACTGGGCCTCCTCTTGTTAATTACTAAAAGAACTGTTAAAAAAAAATAAATAACCCATGTAACATTTTAAATTATTAATAACTACAACAACCATTACAAATTTCAGTGTATACGAAGCTACGTAAACTTGTCGGGAAATGAGGTTGTTGACAAAGAGTCACAAACAAAATGGAGAGACCATTAATAAGTATAGCCAATCGTGAATCTAGTTCCATGGTTTGTCCTGAATCAGCGAATGAAGCAACAAACTAAATGCAAACTGTAAGACTGCAGACTAATTATGGGTGCACCAAGAAATATCTCAATCTTTAAACAAATTAAAAGAAAGAAGTATATAAAGTACCAGATGACCCATGGCACAGACTGTTTAAATGCAGGAAATACAGGAAAGAAAGATAATATGAATTTAATCCTGGTGCTTCCACCTTCATGCAACATTTCTTTTTTCATAAATACTCAGTGTAGAATTTAGCAAAGCGGAAATCCGAAGAAATCTTTTATTTACATGTGTACACATATTTCTTTAAAAATTTGTATTGTCCAGTTAGGAATTGGTGGCAAATCTTGATGGTCACTTGTAATAATTAAATTAAAATAAAAAATTACTTTTGAATATTCATTATTTTTTTATGAGATTGATATTAATGCATTGAAGTGGTATGTTTGTGAAAATTCTAGTTATCTAGAAATCTTACTGTCAATCCTTAAATTGCTGAGGATATTAAATTTTAAATTGAAACTTAATTGTGGGTTAATGGTTAACTGTCATGAATAATGAGAAGAAGGATAGTAGGGGTGATCAGTCAGAAATAAGAAGGCAAAAATAAATAATAATATTTATTTTAACATTTGCCTATAATTTATCTAATAAATGTAAGGATTTGATTTCCTTTTAGTGCAGAAATCTAATTTGTTATCCTTTAAATGAATCCATGTATTCCTTTGTTGTTTTGAAATGGATAGTATCTTCATCAACACAGTTAATTTTTAGCCGTATTATGTTTACCAGCTTCAATGCCTATAAACAAGTAATGTGAATGCTTAGCTAAGGAATAAAAATAAGTAGATTATTTTTTACTCATTCAAAACAGTTTGTTGGATGGAGTGACTGTGAATTCACTATTGAAATGTTTTGTATAAACTTTGTAATTAAATGAAAAAAGGTTAAAGATTTATTAACATTAATATTTTTCATATCAATGAGGAGGATTCAATTATAGTGGGAAAGATAAATAAGATTGTTGTAAATTATTATTGTGAATCTTTAAAACAATTGACTGATTTGTCTTGTATGATTATTAATTGTGAATAATTGCTGATATTTCAGAATTTTCCAAACTAAGTAAGGAAGAGCGGATGGTAATTACTATTGCTGAAATTATTCAAGAGTTGCTGCAAGCTGACAGAGATGAAAAAGATGTTAATTTGAATCGTTTGAAAACTAAAATTTCATCAAAATATGGTCTGGAGACTTCTCCTCGATTAGTAGATATCATTGCTGCAGTACCTGTCGAATCTAGAAAAATTTTATATCCGAAACTGAAAGCTAAACCTATTCGAACAGCCAGTGGGGTAAGAATTTTAATTTTTCAATTATTTTATTATATTATTTTGATTGAGTTATACTTATTCAATTAATTTTTTGGTCGAGATGGTGCCAAATCTGCTTTGCCTTGCCACCAACCAATTTTTCACACTAACCACTTAAAATAACCCATTTTTTTATTTAATGATAGGAAGAAATTTAGTTAATTTTATTAAGATAGACAGGTTTTTTATTTTATTAATCTTTGAGATTCTCAGTTGATCTTCTTACAAGTTCTCTTGGTATAACTATTGTAACCACATTTTAATATAAACTAAGTATATTTTGGAAGAATATTCCTATATGTTTTCTTTTGTTTCTATATATCTATTATGCTTTATTTAAAAATAGACTTTCTGAAGCTTCAGTGTTAATTTATAAAGTTAATTATAAGTAGGTCTTGCAACTGATCAGCTATTTATCATTACATCTTCATCAGGCAAAAAAAAAAATTATATCTTTTTGCAATATATATCTTTTACATTTCTATTGAAAGTAATAGTCCAAAATAGGCAAAGGTGGAGAAGGCTGGTTCAGACGACCAAAGATTGGCAAGGTCTGTAAAGGAAAAAAAAAAAAAAGTAGATATATCTTTTTATATTTGTTAAATTTTTATCCATTAATATTTTTAAAAAGAGATGATATACATTGTTAGTTTTTGTAGATTGCAGTTGTTGCAGTTATGTGTAAACCACACAGATGCCCTCATATAAATATGACGGGTAACATATGTGTTTATTGCCCTGGAGGACCGGATTCTGATTTTGAGTACTCAACACAATCATACACTGGTTATGAACCTACATCTATGAGAGCTATTAGAGCACGATACAATCCTTATGTGCAGACGAGGAACAGAATAGAACAGGTTTTATTGATATTTTTAATATTATGGATTTATTTTTAATTTTTCTTATTTATTTTAATTGTTCATTTAAAATTAGTAAATTTATATTGAAATGTTAATCTTTTAATGCTCTAAATTTTTAATGATTTTGTGTTAAATTTGTTTTTTAACACATGTAATTGAAATTGTATTATTAAGTTGATCTTAATAATTATAAGTTGATTATAGTTCATAATTAATTTGAATTTTGTAGTTGAAGCAGCTTGGACACAGTATAGATAAGGTTGAATTCATAGTAATGGGAGGTACGTTTATGTGTCTTCCAGAAGATTACAGAGACTATTTCATCAGAAATTTACATGATGCACTCTCCGGATATACAAGCCGCAGTGTTAAAGAAGCTGTCAAGTCAGTCACAAAGTTTTTTTAAAAATTTATTCATATGATTTACATTTTTTTCTTCCTTATTAACAAAGATATGGAAGGTTTCTATTCTTCATGGTGGTTAAAAAATATTGATGGTCAGAATCGAAAATTTCTACTAGCTTAGCTAATTACATTTTTAACATCAAGGATAAATTTGTTTCCGTGTCTATCTGTCTGTCTCTCTGAAATCAAACAATCTGTGTGACAAAAATATTAAATTACTACCATTTATTCAAATTTCATCAAATTGTCAAAGATTATGTGGGGTGGTGATTAGATGGTCTTACGACAATTTTATTAAATTCAGTTCAATAAATGTATTTTCTTAGGCATGCCTATATATAAAAAATGGCCCATTCCTTTTGGCTCAAAGTTGGATGATTGGTGGGAAAATGATGCTGTTTCAATTTCATCGAATTTCATCCAATACTTTCTCTTACATCTGTGCAAAGATATTTTCTTTGAAACACCTTCTTCTTCTTCCATTGCCTCGACAAACCATTACTGATCCCTGGATTTCTCCAATAACTTCCGCCACTCTGCACTCTGTTGGGCAGCTAACTAACATTTTTGATGAATGAGATTGTTGCTGATTCTGACTCTTAAGATTGAATGTTTTTGTTTTATAACGGTAAAGTTGTTTCATTTACGTTTTTGCCACTTTCATTTTTTCTTTCTCTTACCTATATATGTAATATGTACTTATGGGAAGTATTGCAATCCTGAAATTTTTTTAATCTGAGTTATCATCAGACATGTTTTGAGGTCCCCTGAGTGCAAATAACAAAGTCCTGCAAAATGGTCTGTGTTTGTGAACAGTCTAGCTCAAAAACGAGAAGTCGTATGAAACTGAAATTGCGTATTTAAGGTTTGTATATAGCTCAGATGTGACAGCAACTTTTTCGTTAAAATCGACTAACCGGAAGTGCCACTTTATATCAATGATTTTTGACATTTTTAAGATTTTCTCGAAAAGGGCTCTAACGATTTTGGTTAAACCCAGTGTATCTATGTATAATTGAGTTTTCTTTAATATCATTTAGGTCTTATCCATATTGATATTGCTTAACAGGGCTTAAATGTCCAATGACCAAAATGTCTTCCTCTAAGTACCTTTTAATTTGGTTTATTTTAAATAATTAACTTTTTATCATTGAGAAAAAGAATGAAGAAAGGCTAAATATAAACTTTGAAAGAGTTTGATATAATGAGGGGTAAAGGAAAAATACTTATTTAGCTCAAAAATGAATCTCTGGAAATAATAGTCAGAAGATATACGTATAACTTTTGATAATAGATAATAAGGAATGCTTATCTCTCTATCTCTCTCTCTCTATATATATATATATATATTGTTAGGTTACGTTTCCTTTTAAAAGTAAACAAAACAGTTTCTGAATTAAAGTATATTTAATTTAAACAAAAATTATTTCTCATGTTGGGTTGAGACAACAAACACACATTCCTCAATCATATATTAATAGTACATAACATTTTTATGAATTTCCATTCATTTTGTCGGGTTCTACGACATCGGGGGCATTCGAACTGCCATTATTTATATTTCACTCACCCTGTTCCGCAGTGAATCTTCCTCTTTATTGTTGTATTCAACTTCTACAATCTTCTATTTTTCCTTTGTTGACACTCACAGTCACATTTTCTTCTCTCAATCCTCTTTATAAGCCAGCTGGCTACGTTCTGCCTTAACATATGGCACTTGCTTTCACTTCCATCTATCTTTGTTCATTTTTGACAGTAGTTTGTGACGTCACTGCCTTCGCGCCTCTATTTAAAATCACTATGTAATATTTACATTACAATATATATATGTATATACTGTAACATCTCTCTTTTATTTTACAAATAATAATAATTTAACCTCGTGGAAGACCACTTTAATACTATTAGAATACTTCCTAAATAAACAAGAGGTTATTTAATAATAAACAAAATTGTAAGATAATTAATATATTTATTTATCTCAGGTGTGGGTTACTGACAATCAGACAAACTAAAATTAACTATACTAAACACTATTTGATTTTAAAATAAAGTCAAATATGGATTGGCAAGCTAATCTATTTCTATATTATATGTTTCTTCCTTTGTGACACTGAAACTTCTGCCAAACAACTCTTCCAAATTAGTAACACTATTACTGGGTTTTCCCACTGGAGCCAGGATCACTTCTCCTATGCTCTCTTCACTACAGTCACACAACTACCTGCCAAAACAAAAACCTTTGGCCCTCTCCTCTTTGGGATTTTCCTTCTTGGGAAACTACAGAGCACCCATTTTCTTTTCCCTGCACTAGTAGAACTAGATTAGCTTGCCTTTTAATTGTTCAACATTAATTTATTAAACCATTTTTACTCACTTCCAATAAAGGTGTACATTACTATATATATATAGTATATATATATATATATATATATATATATATATATATATATATATATATATATATATATATATATATATACGTATTTTTTTTTTTTTTTTAGATTCTCTGAGAAAAGTAAAGTGAAATGCATTGGTATTACAATTGAAACTAGACCAGATTATTGTCTTAAAAGGCATTTATCTGACATGTTAAACTATGGATGTACAAGATTGGAAATTGGTGTTCAATCTGTATATGAAGATGTTGCACGAGATACTAATAGAGGCCATACTGTAAAAGCAGTTTGTGAAAGTTTCAATTTGGCAAAAGATTGTGGATTTAAAGTTGTTGCTCACATGATGCCCGACTTGCCCAATGTAGATTTGGAAAGAGATATGGAGCAGTTCATTGTTAGTAAATTGAAATTATTTTCTACTTATTGTTTTGATCAAATATAAAAGAAGTAATTCCTCTTAATATTTTTTCTGGAATCTTTAGATAAATTTATTTTTGTTTTTACAACTGTTAGTTAATTTTGTAGGTACTTAAATACAAATTATAATATCTAATTATGCTTTAGAAAATATTGTTTTCACAATTAGCATTTATAGTGATAATAAATGGATACATTATTAAACAACAAAGCTTTTTAACTTATGCTAAAATAAGGGTGTAATTGCTTTATATATTAGTTATATAGAAAAACACCATATATTTTTTTCGTTTTTTATCTATTGTATATTTTAATGGGTTTTTATCACTAAAAACTCAATATTATTTTAACCTACAAAATTATATCTAAGGGTACAGTTATTTATTATATTTTCATTAAAGTGTTTAGTTTCATGATTAATTATGAATACAATTTTAGGAATTCTTTGAAAATCCTGCATTCAGAGCTGATGGCTTGAAAATATATCCCACCTTAGTCATTCGTGGTACTGGCTTATACGAATTGTGGAAAACAGGTCGATATAAAAGCTATCCTCCAAATACTCTAGTAGATCTGATAGCCAAAATTTTGGCATTAGTGCCTCCATGGACGAGGGTTTACAGAGTGCAAAGAGATATACCAATGCCACTTGTCAGGTTAGTTTAAAAAAAAATGTTTTCTTTACCTTATATGCTTCTATTCCCTCATGTTTAGGAATTTATTGTTTTTAGTTCTGGAGTAGAACATGGTAATTTACGAGAACTAGCTCTTGCTCGTATGAAAGACCTTGGACTAGAATGTAGAGATGTAAGAACAAGAGAAGTAGGAATCCAAGAAATTCATCATAAAGTCAGGCCACATGAGGTTAGTATTCCTGAGTTTAATATCATAATGATTCCATTTATTTTGAGCATAAAATAAAGGTTTGTTTGTTGGGATCTCCTTCTAGTGTGGAAATTATTAGTTCCTTAATTTTTTTTTTGTTTATAAATTATGTACAAAAGAAAAAAAAAAAAAAAAAAAGCATGAGCCACAGAATTCCATCCGTAAGGTTCTTTCCCTCCCTCATTTTTGTTTGCAAATAGATTAAAGTGATTTTATTGTTTCATTAATGCTTATTTGAGGAAAATGAATAGAATTTTAAAATTGATTACCAAAATCAAGGAGGTTACAACACAGCATATGCAAATTTTCAACACTCCTAATGAATTTGATCAGAAAGGAACTGCTGGGAATGAGTACTATAGTGAAGGAAAAATAATCAGAAATTGAAATGAAAATTTTATTTTTAGTTAGTTCTGATATGACTGGCATTTTTAATTATGATTGTTTCTTTTGGAATTAGAACTTTTCCCCATGGAACTTTCTGATAAAAATGTTATAGAACTTTTATTTAAAAATTCTGTTTAAGAAATTCATTTTAACAAAATTAAATAAAAAAAAAAAAGATAATTGTACATTATGTTCTTAGTTAGTCCAAAAAAATGAAATATAAGAGTTAAGCTATTTTTTCAAGAGAAATCATGTCTCTAATCTAAGCCTATTTATTCTTTATTCCTTATTTAATTTAAATATTTTTTAAGAACATAAATGTTTTTAATAAACTCAAACTGTATTACGAAAAAATTCCTAGAACTTATATTTAATTTCTTTGAAAACATGACAGTCTTTTAAGAACTTTTAATCTCTGAAAAAAATATATTTATACTAATACACACTCAGTATCAAAATACACTTCAAAAATTGTTATCCCTGATCTCCCATCTTATTAAATTACCCATAAAACAATATTAAAATAATCTATCACCCACCTGAAGTTAATCAGCAGCCTGCTTATATTTTGATTCTCAAGCCAAAAATATATACTTTTTTTAAAATTAAAGTTAAGGCCCGTCAAAATGTTAGACACGCTTCCTGGTAAAAATAAATAAAACTCATTTTAATATTTCGTGGCCTTTTCCCCACCATTTATTAATTTAAAAATTCTGTTTGGTGATGAATCGTACAATTGTTTGATTGTTTCTTGAGGTAATTGTTCCCATGAATCCAGAATTGCAGATTTTAAATCCTCCATTGTTCTAAATTGTCTTGACTCAGACTACACCCTTCTTGAAAGAGTTCCCCAAACATTTTCAATAAGGTTCACGTCTGGGAAATTGTGTTGTGAGTAAACCAGTCTTTAGTAATTTTTGCTGAATGTATTGGGACGTTATCTTGCTGGAAAACTGGTGTGCCTTCAGACATGTCATTAAATGTCAACTTTTGTTCCTCTGGCACATTTTTATATTCGGCTGAGTTTATTCTTGATAAAACAAATACCAAATTTCCTTTCTTTTTGTAACCAATTGATGCCCAAACCGTAACTTTTCTTTCTCCCATTTGAAGCCTTGATTCAATTTTTTCTTAAGTCATGAAAATAATACAAAAATCCATGACATCACATTACGAGCAAATACCATCCAGGCGGGTACTCAAAACTGGTAGTAATTTGTGACGGGTACTCAAAACTGGCTCTCTTTTCAGTTTTTTTCTAACTATTGTTTTTGACTTTTTTTAATAATCTTTGGACATTCCTTAGTTTTGTTTGAACTCCAGCTTCCTCAGCAATTGCTCTTGCTGTTTTACAAGAGTTGGATGTGATTTGAAGAATAATCCGTTTCTCTCGTTATGTCAAAGCAGGAGCCTCTCAGTAGAATGGTGGGTTCCATATGTCTCCCCATGCCTTAAGAATAAACTTCGCGACCGATGAAAAACTCTGCTTGATTCGGCGGGCTATTTCCCTACAACTCATCCTGTCCTTGTAAAGAATCAAGTACTTGTAAGTGAGGAAATCAAACGGTGTTCTTCTTTGGAGAAACACTTATTTTTTCCCATAACTCACATTCTTTTTAGGTCTATTTTGAAACAAATTCAACACTGCACTGAAGCAGAAATAATATTTCAACGATTTCAACTCTAGAGGATTAAGAAAATAGTAAACAACAACAAGTGTGTCTATCATTTTGATGCATATAAAATGTCAATATTTACTGATATTGGATTTAAATAATCCTCAAGGTCTGAGAAGATTGTCCCCATTTCTATATCATAATTTATACTTTAAAATGTGCTTAAAAAATATATATCAATCAAAAATAAAGAAAACATGAAAAGTTTTTTTAATTTTAATGGGTGTGTCTAACATTTTGACACTGAGTGTAGTCATCAATCCTAACTAATTAAAATAGAAATTGAAAAAAAATAATAATCATATAGATGAGCGGTTTCAACGTCTGAATCAAAATTTTTGAATTCTTTCTTCCATATCCTCCAAAATTCTTTCAACTTGAAGTATTAAATGAATTGAAAAAAAAAAAAAGCAACCACAATAGATAAAACTTATATACATCTCAGTTCATTTGCTACTGCCTATCCTACATTTACTAAATATAAGTTATAAATAAATTAAAAGATAAAAGACATTTTTAATTTCAATATAACTTAAAACGATTTGTGTTTTCACAGTATATCTAATTTATCCTCTCTTAACATCCAATTTTATCACATTTCTTTTTAGATTGAATTAATACGTAGAGATTATGCAGCTAATGGTGGATGGGAAACCTTCCTGTCATATGAAGATCCTGAGCAAGACATTCTAGTTGGTCTTTTAAGACTTCGAAAATGTTCTGAAGACACGTTTAGGTAAGCATTTATCTTGAGCAAACTATTAAAAATCTGATATTCTTTCTGACAATACAAGATTATTTTTTTAGGCCTGAATTAAAAGGAAATGTTTCCATTGTCCGCGAACTACATGTTTATGGTAGTGTGGTACCAGTGAACTCAAGGGACCCAACCAAATTTCAACATCAAGGCTTTGGTATGCTGTTAATGGAAGAAGCAGAACGAATAGCTAGAGAGGAACACAAATCATCCAAAATAGCTGTTATATCAGGTATTGTTGGAATAACATGTAAAACTGTTTGTTGAACATTGTAGCTTTCTCATGTAAGGTGTTCCAGTCCTTGTAATAAGTATGCATGAGAAAATTCAGAGGCTAATCCATCATTCCTGAATATTCTGTTGGAGGGTTCCCATTTGAAACAGTGACTTTTTGTTTCTTTAAGTTTTGTATCCTTCTTGTTCCCATTTGCTTTGTCACATTTTCCAAATATCTTACTTTGTTTTCTTTAGAAAGTCTATCTTAAGTAAGTTTAAGAATATTATAAGTATTGGAAATAATGATCTGTGTCCTCCCTCTGAGTACCAGAGTACTGAACTATTAATGTAGAACCGAGTAAAGAGTAAGCTGAAGTAGCTGAAATAAAGTTGTTGGTTTTAAAGATCTGGGAGAATGAGAAATTTCCTGAAGAATAGTAAGAATCTATCCTTATTACGATACATAAAAAGGGCTCGAGGATGCATTTTAATAACGATAAAGGACTTTTACTCTTTCCGGTATATTAAAGAATATTCACATTAATCTTAACTAATCAAATCATGGAATACACAGAGGAAATTATTGGAGACTACCAATGGATTGAGACAAAACCACTCAACTATTGATCAAATATTGGAGAAAAAATTAGAGCACAACAGTGTTGTTTACCAGCTGTGTATTGATTTCACAAAAGCTTATAATTCCATTGACTGCCTGAAGCTGAATAATATTCTAATCGAGCAGGGAAATATCAAAAAATAAGTAAATCTAGTTAAGATGTGCTTGATGGAAGCATTCAATAAAGTTAAAATTATTTTTTCCAAAAAGTTTGAGGTTGATTTGGGTTTAAAGCGAGGTGATTTCCTTTCAGCTGTCCTGTTTAATTTAGCATTATAACATGCCATTAGGAGGATAATATACACCGAAAAAATGTTGAATCTGAGTGGAACAATACCCTGGCTTGGTTATGCTGATGATTTAGTCCTTCAAAATAGGACTATCAACAATCATTTATCTCTGGAGTTGTTAATTGTTTGGAGATAGTTGTGCAATAGATGTTTTTTCAAATACCTCTAACTCACTTAACTGGATTTATGATAAATAAAATAGATACTAAACATTACACACCGTTTTATCAACTATGGTATTTCAAATGTTTATTTTTATACAGCTTACGCATTGTAAGATAGGTATTGTAAATTAGTCTTAATATGTAAACTATGAATCTATAGTTTCATTGGCTTATATATACACATACTCATATATATCCCCTTATGTTTTTATAAAATATTAACATTTAATACTTTTTTTTTATTTCCAGGTGTTGGGACCAGAAATTATTATAGGAAAATAGGTTATGAACTGGATGGTCCTTATATGTCCAAAATATTAACTTGTGAAAATGATAAACTGAAATCTCAACAGATCTAAATGCAAGAATTGTTTTTAATTTTATATTTGTTGAGTTTGATGAAAAATCCATCAAAAAGTTTGAAGGAAAGTGTAAATAAGAAAATGTACAGAATAAAATACATTTTTTATTTTTGTGGTTTATTGTTTTCAGTTATAACAAAGTTATGTCCAACTGCTGCAGTAAAAAATTTGAATTTTTTGTGCCCTTCAAAATGTAACTTGGTAGGCTTTAAGACATCATCACTATTTCCATTTCCGCAACTTCCATGTTCATTCCATCCCCATGAGAAAAGCTTGCCTCGTTCTACAACAAAACAATAACATTACAGTATAACTATTTTAATACTCAATGTTCTAATTGAAAACTAAAAAACTGTAAACATACATAATATTTTTAACAATTCATTTTCTAGCAGTTTTAAAGGAGCAATTTCTAATATTGATAGAACAAACTTAAACTCTGCTAAATAAAAATAAACTAAAACAGTTCACTGTAACTAATCTAAAGTAACAATTAAAGCCTTGAACTAGATAAAAGAAAAATGAGTTTACAGCTTAATATAATTTGTTTCTGGTTTAAAGAAATAGCAAATGAGCCATGATAACCATTGGCTATTTTTCTTCCTATAAACCAAATAAAAAGCTTAAAATAATGAAAAAATTCTGTCCTCACATTGAATTATTTTATATGATAACTTTTTCCTTAAACATTTTTTTTTACATTCTGTAGTCTCATTGTTAGAAGGTGCCAATATTTTTAATTTTTTTTATTTGATAAAAAACAAAGAAGGAAAATAAAAAAAAAATCTGGTGACATCACAAAACTTTCACTTACCACTGTAACTGGAATAGAAATAATGTTCTGGCAACAATGGATTGTTACAAAGTTTTTGAAGCATATTTTTAATGGAGCTAAACATTAAACTTTACAGCTAAACTGTAACATCTCATTAAGGCCATTAAAATAATACAAATCCTATTTATTATATAGACCATAGGCAATAAAAACCTCATTTCTCAATCAATGAAACACACCTCACTATCTGTCATTGCAAAGCATATAACTCCAGTCTCTGTGCTACAGATGCCTAGAGAGATTTGAAATTACATTAGTACATTTAACCTTAAGTCCCATGAATAAATGAGGAATAATTTTTATATTTAAATAACTGCAATGCTAGTATAAGAGATTTAATAGAAAGTGAAGTGAAGTAAATCTAAACTTGGCACGAAATGTTACTTTTATGAAAAATCACTTTCTGGAAGGGTGAAATTTTTGCACAACAGTAAGAATTGCCTGAGAGCTATTTCACCAAGTTAAAGAAATTAAATTAAAAAAAATTCAATAAAATTATAGTATTAAAACAAAATATTATTTAAATCAAATTATAGCTTTTAACATTAATTGTAGCTAAGCATACTTTTTTTTTTTACATACCATTCATCCCCAAACAATGCTCTGAACCAACAGAAATTTTTTGAAAAGTAAATCCTTCAAGTTCTTGTGGTTGCCACCTATTTTTAGTGGTCCCATTCCCTAATTGTCCATAGTTATTTCTTCCAAAATTAATCAAAACACCATTATCTATAAAACAAATGAATGAAAAGGATAATATTCTTTCAATTAATAAAAAAAATATGTTTTATTTTAGTAGATTTATACATATACATGGTTATTAGCTTTGCTTCACACAAAAACAATTGAGTACAGGAAAACTACTAACCAATTATTTAAAGAACCTAAACTGTACTTAGGGCTTACAAAAATTATTTAGGATTGAAAAAATATATTTTACAATTGTAAAATCTGAAAAACAAATTAAAAAAATTAATAATATTTTAGTGTTTTTCCTGCAGACGACAGCAAATTGGGGTTCTATTATGAGCTGTGTGGTACTATTAATGTCTGTTAGTTGACCTGTTGAGAAAGCTCCAAGGTCCTCTAGGTCCAAATAACTTCTTCTTTGTGTATCTCTGATGACATACCTAGCGTCAAGGAATCTCGATCCAACGCAGCCATGTCTCAGTCCCAGTCTGCCTCATTTCTTGGAGCATTTTCCCTCTCTTCCCTCCAATCCTAGAAGGATATTCTGGGACAGCCTCGCAGTCTCCTCCCTGTGGGTCGAGCTTCCATCACTTTTTGAGGTTCTCTTTTATCGCCCATCTCCGTAATGCTTAATGACTGTCCCCAAATAGGTAAATTCCTGCACAACCTCGAGTACCTCACCATTAATGATCAGCTGAATATATTCTTGTTCCTCTCTTGAAAGAATTGAGATCTAGCTCTTAGGGGTTGATAGCCATTCCAGAAGAGCCTGTTGCAGCTTGTTTCTCTTATCTGCTATCAGTATGATATCATCGGCATACAATAAGCTTTGAACCATAACATTCCTCATCTTCCATTTATCGATGACCGTCCAAGCAGTATGGTGTTTACAAATTTTATGGATTTCACCCATAAATATGATGGCTTTCTATGGGAAAAGGCTTGCATTCCCTTCTATTGATCCTCACAACTCCTTTCGCTTCCTGATAAACCGATGTAATAGCTACGACAAGATCTCCTGGAACAACTTTTAAAGCATCCCATATTTTTTTTTTGGGGGGACGGAGTTGAACGCTGCTTTGAGATCCAGAAATACCATATATATATATATATATATATATATATATATATATATATATATATATGTTCTTATCCCTGTTTCAAACTTGATGCTTCTCAGTATGAAGATGTGGTCTTGAGTCTGTCCCCCTGGACGAAAACCTGCTTGTTTTTCTTTTATTTGGTTCTCTACTACTGCCGTTAGTATCCTTTCTAGGATTGAAGTGTATAGTTTGTAAGCCACTGAAAGTAAGCTTATTGGCCAGTAATTTTCACGGTCAGTGGAGCTACCTTTCTTGTTAATAGGAACAATGATACTAAACTCCCAATCTCTTGGAATTATCTTCGTATCCCATATCTTTGGAAAAGTTGTTGGAGGAATAAAATAAATTCTTGACCGCCAAATTTCAATAATTTTGGAGCTATACCATCCTTTCCTGCTGCTTTACGTATTTTAATTTTTTCAATGGCATACTCTACCTCATCTTCCTTAATGGCATCAGACTTCTCCAGGATATAATTTTCTTCACCATGTTCTCCTGGGCCATTAGGCCCAGTTTCTCAGTTTACTGAGAAGTGTCCTCGATAAAACTCATTTTATTTTTTCACACAAACTGTAATAATCTTGCCTTTCAAGTCTTTTACATTTTTTTCTGGCTTACTTCTTTTCCCTCTCAAGGCCTTTCCTTTGTGCCAGAATTTTTTTAATACTTTCACAGTGGTCTTCATTGAGGCTTTTTCCAAACTTCTGCCAGCTCTTTTTGCTTGGCGGATCACTTCTTTGCATTGATTTCTGGTCAAATGGTATTGGATCCGTTTTTCGGCTGCTCTGTCTTGAATGGAATCTTTCCATGCCTTCTTCTTTAATTGGTGCATATCTTCATTCCACTATTCAGTTCTAGCTTCTGTTTGCTAGATATTTTACAATTGTCTTATGCCATGATCTTATATGAAATATGCAATAATACTGTTCCTTTCTAGGCTCGAAAAGGTTATTTTGTGTATCCTTTTGTGGGGAAAGAAATAATTGCCCACAAACAGGTCATTATCCAAACAGAAATCAATAAGGCGTTGTTGTTGTTCTTACGCTCTCCCCTCCATGGATTCCAAGAGTACCATAAGCAACAGTTGGATCTCATCCCGTTCTGGGATTTAAGTCTCCACTCGGTATTGCGAAACGTTCTTAACCCTTTATTTTATTCAGTACTCCTTGCAAGTCCAAGTAGAAGGCGTCTTTGTCCATGATTCCTGCATCCTCTGTTAGTGCATATGCTTGCACCAAAATAACCTTACCGACGCCCAAAGAAATATCTGCTGCAATTATTCTTGATGAGATAGGCTCCCAGTCTTCTAGTATGTTATACATTTTTAGATTCATGGCTATACCTACTCCTTCTTTCGCAAAAGTTCCTTGAGGAACTCCAGCATATATAAGAGCATATTCTCTCTTCAGCTTCAGTTCACCACTTTCCTTATCTCACTAATGCCGAACTTTTTCAGGCCAATTCGAAGATCCCTGCAGTCACTTAATAAATTAGATCAATTACATTAATTGGAAATGCCACTTCATATAATAGATTTTTACAATTTTCTCAAAAATGTTCTGACATGGGCTTAAATGCTGAAATTTCAAAATTTCTTCCTATAAAATAATATTTCGGTTTATTTAAAAAAATTAGAAGTCTTATTTTTTGACGTAATAAGAAATGGCTAAATCTAAACTATGCATAAATTTGAGTATTAATTAAAGCAGAAAATAAAAAAGATGAAAGGATGAAAACAAATTTCTAGACATGTGAGTGGTTATATGTATTATATATTATTAAGATATTATATTTTATTAAATATTCATATTTTTTACCTGCTAAGAGATGAGTCGATGACCATCCACAGTGAATTTCTTGGATATTATAATCTTTATTTAAAGGAATCAGCACAGGTTTAGCTATTGTTTTACAATCGGTTGGATCAATTCCAAGCTGACCCCATTTATTGACACCCCAGCCATACATTTCTCCACTCTCATTCAAAGCAAATGAGTGGTTAAAGCCACAAGAAATCAATTCAATGTTTTTCAAACCTATAACTAATAAATCATACACTATATTAGTATATTTGTTAAATGTTTAATAATTGGATATTAATAATTTTCCTTCTCAATTTTCTAAGAAGTATAAAATTATTTTTTTCTTTAAAGGTACCAAAATAAGATCTTCCATATAATATATTTATTAGTTAACATTTCAGAGTAGTATCCCTTGAAGTGGCCAGAAAGAAGTTTCATGGCACAAGTTGCCCCATCAAAATTTTTGAAGGAGGCATATTTTGATGAATGAATTTTCAGAATGATAAGTTTCAAACCAGGCAAAAAGGAAAAATGGAACAGACCTAAAAAAATGGAATTGTTTATAATCTACAATTTTTTAAAATTCTACTTTCACTCACAATGATTTTAAGAAGAACAGAGCAATGAAGTATTTTGGGAGGGGATTAAGGTTCATGTGTCAGTAACCTTGGAAAGAGGGAGATGACCCTGAATATCCCCATTATCAAAACTTGTTTCATATCACAGATTATTATTAAAATTATATCTTAAGATATTTATTTGTACTTAGCTCAAAACTTGGAACAAACTTAGCTACAACTTTTGAGCTAAGCTTAAATAAATGTACTTTTAATATTTTGACATTTGTAGAAATATGTTCAATATTATTTTATTTTGAATTTATATGGATGATCCTATTTTTGTAACCTTATTTTGTTTGCTCAAAGAAAAGAATATTAATATGTTCCTTTTATCACTTCAGTCTTAGCATACTCATTAGTAATAGGACCTTTTACAACAAGAGAAAATTAACCACCTATATTATAGAAAAGGGTATAAGTATGAATAATTTGAGAATAGAAAATCAATAAAATACATATACATGAAATAATTGGAATCGGCTACATTGGTCTGCGGAGTCAAGAGAATACTTACAAAAGGTAAACGTACTGCATGGTGGAGCGATGAATTAAAAGCATTGGTCAAGGAAAAGAAAATAGCCTGGAGGAATTATTGCAGGGTCAAAACCACAGAAAAATGGCAGTCATATGTATTGGCAAGGAATGTGACTAAGGAGGCCGTAAAAACGGCAAAGAAGAGGTCATGGTAAGAATTTAGAGAGAGGTTGAACCAGGATCACGGTGAAAATATAAAACTATTTTGGAAAAAGATCAAAGCACTGTGAGGCCGAACAAGCAAAGGAGTAAGAAATATAAAGAATGAACAAGGAGAAATGGTCTCGGAGGACAAAAGCATCCTGGAGTTATGGAGGAGTCATTACGAAAAACAATTTATCATCGAACATATGTATCCTGGGAACAGTCAGGAGGCGCGCTGGAATGAGGCTGACTTCGACGAGGTCATAGGGGAGGACGAGGTAGAGCTAGCTATTGAAAAGATAAAAACAGGAAAAGCTGCAGGACGGGATAATTTAGTTAGAGAATTTGTTAAGTATGGTGGGATGGAGTTAGTGAGGTCTCTCCAAATACTTTTTCAAAAATTCTGGGGCAGCAAACGGATTCCTACAGAATGGGAATATAATGTCATAATTCCCATACATAAAAAAGGCAGCCAGGCTGAATACTCCAACTACAGACCCATATGCCTGTCCCCAGTGGTATATAAATTATATACATCCATCATGCACAATACACTGAGACCTCTAGTGGAACCGTTCGTAGGAGAAGAGCAAGCTGGTTTCAGACCAGGGCGTCAGACACAGGATCATTTATTCACCCTCAGGAATATAATGCAAAAATCATAGGATAATGATAAAAATTTGTACTTAGCCTTCCTCGACCTTCAAGCAGCATTTGATTCTGTCCCAAGAAACGAAATATGGGAAGCACTAAGAGTAAAAAAAGTTCCTAGAAGCCTGGTTGAGGACATTAAATCCATATACCAAAATCCAAAAGGAATAGTCAGACTGAATGGACAGGAATCTGGCTATTTTAGCATAGCTAAGGGGGTCAAACAAGGTGATAGTTTAAGCCCGCTGCTATTTATATGTATGATGAAATTGCTGCAATCTGCAAAAGACGAACAGAAAGGACGTTTCTGGGGTGAAGGAATCTGCTTCCAGTTGTATTTCAGTTTCTTCTATATGCGGACGATATTGTCCTGATTGCTGATTCTGTGGAGAAATTACAGCAGGCAGTTGACCAATGAAACGAGGAGCTCCTCAGGAAGGGTATGGACATCAAGACAAGAAAGAGCAAGATCCTACAGGTTGGAAGAGTGCAGGAAGATGTTACAGTGTATTGCAACAGAGAGGTGATGGAAGTTGTGTCAGATTTCACCTACCTTGGTTCTGTTATGGATCGGTCTGGGAAAGTGGATTCAGAAATTCTGAACAGGATAAGCAAAGCAAATGCTATATATTACCAGATCTGCAATACTGTGATCGGAAAGAGAGAAGTGAGCAGAGGTGTAAAACTGCACATATTTAAGGCAGTATACTTGCATATACTCCTGTATGGTGCAGAAAGCTGGGTGCTGACTGACAAACTTGAGAGAAAAATCACTGCTGCAGAAATGAGGTTTCTCCGGAGGATTGCAGGGAAAACGAGATGGGACTGCATTCGCAACGAGAGAATCAGGGAGGAATTGGGTTCCCCCGATGAAGGATGTCCTAAAGACTCGACAGCTTAAGTGGTTTGGGCATGTCATCAGGATGGAAGAACACAGAGATCCATTAAAGTCTATGGACTACGTCCCCAATGGCAGAAGATCCCGCGGCAGACCGAGAATATGGTACCTCGAATACGTAGACTGCCTGTGCAAAAATAGAAATAAAAATATACACCAAGTCAGAAATCTTGCAAGAAACAGGGAAAATTGGCAATCCTGGTTAGACGCTCCCCTACGCTGAAAGGCACTACAGGGTGATGCAAAAGAAGAAGAAGAAGTTTCATATGACAGATTATTATTAAAATTATATCTTAAGATATTTATTTGTACTTAGTTCAAAACTTGGAACAACTTTTTAGTTAAGCTTAAATAAATGTACTTTTAATATTTTGACATTTATAGAAATATGTTCAATATTATTTTATTTTGAAGTTATATGGATGATCTTATTTTTGCAACCTTATTTTGTTTGCCCGAAGAAAAGAATATTAATATGTTCCTTTTATCACTTCGGTCTTAGCATACTCATTAGTAATAGGACCTTTTACAACAAGAGAAAATTAACCACCTATATTATAGAAAAGAGTATAAGTATGAATAATTTGAGAATAGAAAATCAATAAAATACATATACATGAAATAATTGTTTTCATTTATTTATTATTTTACAAGGTTATATAAAATGTGGAGAAGGATGGCTGAAAGGCCTAACGTGCATGTAAAATATGTGTTGCCCGACAACTTGATAAACATAAGATTAAGAGTTCAAATCTCAGTACCCGATGGAATTTTTAACGCTGGAATATTTCACTCAATCTCTCTCTTCGAAGGAACTTCTTATAGACTAAAAGAGAATAAGGGGAGAAAAAAAAGATTAAGAAATAAGAATGAAAAAGTTTTACTAGAACTCAACATTTTTGATATACTTTTTTACAAACTTAAAATTTAGATATGATTTAAATAGTTTTGTTATGATTTTTATAAGATGTTTTTGAGGGTGTTCTCGCGATTATCTATCTAGTTCACAATAAATCACTGTGAACGTACCGCACGGAGAAGATTAAATGAGTAAGGATTAATGGCTTTTGGTCCAGTAAGAGGACCAGAATTGACCAGAACTCACAGAGTAATACGGCTGGCTTTTGCTCGAGAACACAGCCATTGGACTATGTTCAAATGGAGTGCTGTACTTTTTACAGATGAGTCAAGATTCGCTCTTCGATCTCCAGACGGGCGTGAAAGGGTGTGGAGAAGATGAAACGAAAGATATGCAGCCTGTAATTTTTCCCAGAGCCAACCTTTCCAACGTGGTTCCTTAATGGTGTTCTCGAGCAAGAGCCAGCCGTGTTACTCTGTGAGTTCTGGTCAACTCCGGTCCTCTAACTGGACGAAAAGCCATTAATCCATACTCATTTAATCTTATCCGAGCAGTACGTTCAGAAATTTGCACACCTCGAACTTCTTCGAGCTGATGAATCGCCTGAACAACAGTAAGGTGCCGGTTTCGTAAAATTCTCAAAATCAAAAACCGGTCATCCCGTGGTTCTGTTACCCTAGGCTGTCCAGAACTGGGCCTTCTATTGTAAGAACCAGTTTCCGAAAAACGCCTGACGGTGTCTCGTAAAGTTTCATATGGAACTCCGATGGCATTAGCTGCATATCTAATGGAACGTCCATTATCAATAAGTGCCACACCAAGCGCAACATCCTCAGCACTAAGAGGCATTTTTAAACTTAATATTGAAAAAATTAAAAGCCGGAGACTAAGAAATGTGCTGCAAGAAACGGCACTGAATTAATGATACTGAATAAACATATTGATTCCCTAGAAAGTAAACATTGGAATCTAGAATCATTTCATCGAATTAAGGATTAAGAGTTATTGTCCTCTATATTAACATTCCTAATTGAAAAAAAACAAAAAGATTACCTATTTATTCATTAAAAACAATAGACTAATCCAAAGCAGAAATATTTTTAGATGAAAACATAAAAAAAATCAAGTGGGTGGAATTTTTTGCCTGTCAGTGTATGAAGAAATTGATAATGCCATAAACAAAATTAAAAAAAAAAAAAGAGTCAGAGTTGAATTACTTTAAAGTAAACTATTATCATAAGTATAAGTGAGTTGGCTAGCTGGTGGCATTCAAATTAAAGAATTTCAACCTGCTTTGATATATGAAATGACACAGGAGACGATTTAATTGGCGATAAGTCTTGTGACAGAGAGTTGAGGCATTGCTATCTTTACACGGTGATATTAATTATCTCTGAAACATTGATTTCAGGCCATACTATTTACTTAACATCTACAATTGCAAAGATTTTGCAAATGGTAGATTATTTTTTTAGTTTAACTAAATACTAAAAAAATGGGAAAACAACCAGAGACAATTAGAGATGATTATGGTACTCAATACTTACAATAAAATAGGAATTTAATGTACCATTAGCAAATAATAATCTCTAGCATTGTGTATTTGATAAAATCTGTCTTAAAATAATTTTGAGTTCAGTTGAAGTTCACTATGCAGTGTCATTTAATGCACAGCGTTAAGTTAATTTCAAATAAAACTTTTTTAGTTTTGTTCCACCACCCATTTTTATTTTTTAAGTGTTTTTGTATAAATAAGTTTTTGTGTAAAGAAACAAATGGAATCTATAATATGAATATTATAGAATTTATAATTAACAAAACTATTAAGAGATAATTTTACCTTCACTAAAAGTATGATCAAGAATTGCCACTTTTCGTCCAAGTTGGCCATATTTGTAGTCACCTGATGACAATACTTTTCCATTGTGTACAAGTATAATACAGTGCCTTACACCACATGCTACTTGCAAAGCATCCTCTGATAATACTATAGGTTTCTCACTATTAACTACCTGCAAACAGCTATAAGTTACTGTTCAATAAAATAGCAATTATATTTTAATTTATAATGAGTCAGCTAAAAGTATATTGATTTCATCACATGTTAAACTTCATATCTATGATGAGAATATTTTTCAAGATAATAAAAACATTTCATGGGTAATAATGTTTTTTAAATAAGCGACTTCATAACTATACAAGAACTACTAAAAAGAGTAATATAGAAATGATTAGTTATGAAAACATGACAGTAAGTAACATAAGCAACTATTCCAAATCTACTTGAACAGTACAATAATTTATCATTTTTTGATATTGTGCCAAGCTGTACTTTTTTGGTTTTAACTATTTAAGTTTTTACCTTTGAAGTCATCAAGTTTTTTCTAAAATGTCAAAAATTGTTAATATTATAAATGAATTCATTGAAACAAAACAATTAGCTATCCTTAGTGACAGTCTAAAACAAACTAATAACAGCAATTGTACAACATTTAGAAGATTCTTTTCTTTTAAGTTCATTTATCATCAGTAAATTGTTAATGCATCAAGACATCCCATTCGTACAAGAAAAAACAAGAAATTATAACAACTTACGAATTTCAGCCTAGCAGGGGAACAAGATGAAAAAAGTGATAAATTGTGCTGTTCAAGTTTATTTGCTATAACACAGACATGAGAAGAAACATCATATGATGCCATCATTTTGGTCGTTGTTAACAATTATTTCTTATTAAAAAAACAACACACATTCAATAGCCAGGAATAAGTTTAACATAATTAAATTATACATTGATTATACAAATAACATTAGAGGAAGATAATAAACAACTAAATCAATATTTAAAAAAATTAAAAGCATGGCTTTTTCAAAATTGAAAACTCTAATGTGTAAGATTGAATAAGATCCTCAACACGTAAGTTTCCAGCTGTGAATTTGGCAAGGAAATAAAAATGAACCCAAACAGAATTTTAATTTTAATTTGGATATTATTATAGATCATAAAAAATAACAAAAACTTCAAACGAGATCCTTGCTGGAAGATAACAAATTGGTACTAGTTCTAAAATACTACTCAAAGATGAGGGCTGATTTTAGGATCGCATCAAGTACACTGTAGATGCAATTCAAAAAGTATCTGAATATTGACTAACATGTTCATGTGCAATGACAAATGTAGACATTTCTTTCTCTAAAACGCACCTATAGCTATTTCCTGACGAAGGACTGATTTTCTTAGTAGTTATTTCATGATGAGAAAGATACATGATAGTATTAGATATACGATTTTTACATTTATTATTGATTATACAATGTGTGATATGATGCAAAATATTTGAATTATAAATTAAATTAGATTTTGATTGCAACAGTGGTCCAATTTAATCACTATTATTTAATATCTAAGATTGTAATTATTGTTGTTGAATTAAATAATCTCAAAGAGTACAGGGGATATTTATTAGCACAGTTTGGAAACATAAGAATTATTTTGATATTAATTTCCAAGGAAGAAGTGAAAATTTTGATAAATATTTTCACTCTGTCATTTATAGATTATAAGAAATGAAATGACAGCTGGAACTGATCTAATCAAACTAAGTTAAACACTCAATTATCAAGTTTTTAGGAATCAGTTTGTTTTGGGATTCCACCAACACAAGTGCTCAATGTGACTTGAACCCAACTAGTATTTTGGAGAAGCAATGTGGAGCTATAGGTTGACCTCGATTAGTTGGCAGCTCGGGGACAAACTCATACTGCACAAAGTTGAAACTAAAATTTTTTTTTAATGAAGGAGATGGTCCAGGATGGCGGACATAAATAGACTAAATAGTGGCAAAACAATTTTATTAAAAGCCAACGTATCGACCCGACATTGCAGATCTTCTTATGACATTGATAATTCATTCCACCTTAAAGAACAATTGTCTTCTCTCCATATTCCTGACAACTTTATCCTTCTTTCCCAAGACGCCAAAAGCTTATTTAGCAATATCCCAATAGACAAAGCCCTCCAAATTGTACAGAAAAACTGGACAATCATTGAACCTCACACCACCCTCAATCTCTCCTCATACCTTGAGCTTTGTTGCAGATCTGGATACCTCACATTCAAGGAAAATTCTTTAACCAGATTTCAGGTCTAGCCATGAGAAATTCTTTAGTAACGGATATTTCCAATATTGTTTTTAACTTCTAGACTCTGTTATCCCTTCTTTCCATCAAGACATCATTTTCATCAAAAAATATGTCGATGATCTCCTCCTTGTTCTTAACCCTGACAACATTCCTCAAATTCTTTCCTCAGTCAACTCTTCCTCCAATCTCCACAAATCCAACCAATCCTCGTCTTCGTTTCACTATTGAGAAAGAAGTTAACAATTCATCCCCCTTCTTAGACATCCTAATAATAAAAAACACTGATGGCTATATTTCTACTGACTGGTATACTAAACCCATGTACTCAGGTAGACTACTTAACTTTTATTCTCAACACCAATATCACCAAAAACCTTATTCACCAATCTCTCTCTTTATCTGATCCACAATATCACTAAGCCAAACACTCAGCGTGTCAAAAATATACTCCTTTCCAATAATTTCTCTCTCAACATTATACTTAAACTTTTAAACAGCTATACAACCAAAAAGTGTACAAGCTCCCCTTCTCTCAACTCCCCACAATCGCCTACCACTCTTTTCATATAAAAATCTCTCTCCTATATTCCTATTCTCTCAGATAACATACAAAAATTCCTTAAATCGACTATAACCAATTTACGTCTTGGCCTCAAGTCCCATAACAAACTTTCTTTTCTTTCCACCAACTTGAAGGCTCTCATACTTTCACAACACCGATCGAATATAGTTTACCGGATACCTTGCTCTACTCCTAATTGTAATAGCTCCTATATTGGCGAAACCAAATCAATCTCAAAACCTGTATTTCCCAACATAAAACATCCATAACTTCCCGGAACCCTTTTTTTTTTTTTTTTTTTTTTTTGTTCTTCCCTACGTCGCCTTTTAGGCTATACGGGCTTTTAGGCTATATATATGCGAACTCGTACTTTTTATAACATCTCAAATCTCTGTTATCCGGTTGCCAGGCAACTAGCGGTGTTGTGCACACGCTTTAGCCTATTCGGCCACCCCGCTCCCCAACTTCCCGGAACTCTTCCGCCTCTTAACTATCAGAACATGGCTTAACCCTCAACCATTCATTTGATTTTGAAAAAAACTTCCTAGTATTGCCACGGTCCCTAACCATGAAAAAAGACTCATTTCCAAACCCATCCTCATTCACATGGAACAGAATTCTGTTAATCATAAAGTAGATAAAAACTGCATTTCTTTAACATATAGGCACATTTTAAATCTTATAAGTGAAAAATAACTTATTTATTACATCTTATTATTTTCAATTTTTATTGATTAATTCATTTGAATCCTTCATTATTTTAAGTATTTCCGCTTTGTATGATCTCTCTTTTATTTTTATTTTATATTTACATTTTACTTCAATGTATGATCATCCATTTTTACTTTGTATTCATTTTACTTATTAACCATTATGTCTCAATATTATCTAATATTTAAATGTAATTTTCTTGCATATGTACAACTAAATATAAGTATAATTATTCATATTTATTTCTTCTCTATACTTCTAAATTAGTTCTGCAACATATGGTCTTTTATTTCTATATTTATATTTTACTTCTTTCATTTTTGTTTTTATTCACATTGTACTCCTATCTATAATTTCTTAATTCTATTTTATATGTATATATTTATAATTTATTATTTCATAGATATAGTATTTTCCCTTGTATCCATCCATATCTTCAAATTTTAGATACTGTAATTTTCCAAGTTATTACTTTTACTACTTACCACCTCACTTGGTAATGACCCAACCAGGTCAACAAATTTCCCGAATACCTATCCTTATCCTGATTTTCCAGTTCTAAGTGAAACTCCTTGCTGAAAACACCTGTAAGTCTCTATCTTTATTCTTCTAATTTTATTTACTTATTTATTTTTTGGTTTCCTTTTTTTTTTCCACATCCCTTTATGTCTATTATTTCATATTATATCTTTTTTCCTTTTCTTCCAATCTCTCCTATAGATCTGTAGGAGTATATTCACAATTGCATATATTTTATTATATATAATACTACAACAATTGTTAACTATATATTTAGAGTTTAGGATCTTGTTACTTAGCTTACTCTGTATATATTTTAATGTACTTGCTGTTTATAATTTTAATAAGTTTATTCACATTGCTTTATAATTTTCTGTCTAAATAATATATAACTTCCACCTTTATCTTTTTGTATCTTGTCCGTTCTAGCCTTAGTTTTTAATAAAATAGTTTTGCCACTATTTAGTCTATTTATGACTGCCACTCCGGACCATCTCCTTCCTTAATAATGCAACGGTCACCTATTATGTATTCAATATAACATTTTTTTCTAAATTACCGATATTAATTACAAATATTTACAATTGGTTACATAAATAAGATCATGGCATCATTCAATATGTGTATATATTTGTAAATATTTTAAAAGTAATATCAGAGAGCTAGAGAAAGAAACAACATGTGGGTTTCAAAACCTGTGCTCAATGAGTTCATCCTTTGGCTTTCAACTAATTATGGTCGAACTATAGTATGAACAAATTTGTTTCTATTAACTCTAATAAAATGATTTGAAGCAATAAGGATCAACATTGAAAAGAAGTTAAATATTTTATAAAAAAAAAGTATCTAACAACACATATGAATAAGCAATTATTTATTTTAATTTATCATTCAAATTTTTCTGCTTCAATTTCATTTAAAATAAACTAAGTATATTATCGTACACAAAAATTTAAGCCGTGTGTATTGGCCAAATAAACTCCTAGCAAAATCGTTGGTCTTAAAATTTAATGGTTCTACTGTACAAATGTCACTCCATTTGCATGATCAGAAATGGAATCCTGAGAATGGCCAAGTGCGTCTGAAAGTAGATGCAAGTGGCTAAACCTTTTGGTAAACCCTTGACCTCAACTGAAAAGGATTCGCTATGTGTTTATCCTTCTTGAGCGAGCATGAGTCAAAAACAGCAATGTAATTAAAGCTAATTAACGGCCTGGTTTTAACTGAAAATGTCCGTAGGGAGTTCATCGAAGTTGTAAATTGTGATCTAAATAAAGGGACCCATTTACTGGATGTATATCTGTTTTTATACAGTTGTAAATTTTATAAATTTAAAAAAAATAATAGATAGGTGGTTATACTATGAACACGTCAATACTTGGAATCCCATTTACACCACAAATATGAGATATTGATCCATTGGACGAGATGGAGTGAGAGTTGTGCAGTTGTACTATTAGCTTCTTTACAAACTACTTAACCCAAGACTGTTCATGTGGTATAATGAAACTTTTTTCCACATTATATTAGATTAGAAAATAAAAAGATATTATATAATAAAAATTAAACTAAATAAATAGATAACATCACATACCTTGTCCATAGGTTTGCCTAATTGGCTATATACATTAGAACCCCAACCAATACATAATCCATCTTCTGTAATAGCATAACATGAATCCCAAGTTGAACATAAACTGACTATACAATAATCATCAAGTTCTTTAAGTCTGATGACATCAGTTATCACACCATGACTGTTAGAGCCCAACTGGCCTATGTTATTTAATCCACAACCATAAACTGAACCTTCTTCGGTTAATATCAGGGTATGGCCACCACCACCCCATATCGATTTTATTCTTTTTAAGTCTGTATTTCCAGATTCAATAGCTTTACTTAAGTTGACGAATTGAGGGATATTGACTTCATCTGTCCTAAAACCTAGTCCAAGTTGTCCATAGGAATTGGCTCCCTAAAAAACAAGGATTATGATTAATGGCTAAATACAAATAATAACAAACAATACTAAGAAATACAAAGAAAATTTACCCATGCAAATACGCTCATAACTTACAGTTCCTAAACGTATTTCGTTAGACTATTAATCCAAAAGAATAATCAAATTGTTTTATCCACCAATATGTAACTATATCCATACAATGTAAATATAACCTACCGGTGTTGATAAAGATAATAAACCAAAGAGGTAAGTGAAAGTTAAAAATTGTGGTTATTTCGTAGAGCTACAACTAAAACTGGCACATCATATGTTGTTTAAATTTAGGTTTTTACGACGATTAAGTTTCAATATCACCAAACTTAATTTTTTGGGAGGGAACGTGTGCATCAAGTCTGGTCCCTCATCATTGTAATTTAACTTCTTTTCAATGTTGATCATTATTGCTATAAATCATTTTTTATTAGAGATAATAGAAACAAAATTGTTCATAGTATAGTTCGACCATAATTAGTTGAAAGCCTAAGGATGAACTTATCGAGCACAGGTTTTAAAACCCGCATGTTATTTCTTTCTCTAGCTCATCAATTAAATATTAATTCGTATTGATTTAAACCGCCAAGGTCCGCCTAAAGGTAGTTAAAATATATTTTAAATCATTATGCATAAATGTTCGAACGATTTCTAGGTATATACTAATATCTCCTATGACCAAAAATGCTCTCAAATTTGGTTTTAAGAATTTTATTGAACATAAAGGAAATAAGATTTTGTAGTTTTTCATTTCGAAAAATTCCTTAAACCAAAACAATAAAAAAAAAAAAAATTAAATCTTCGTTTTCTTTGTTTTAAAATTTTAATTTTGCCTACCTTGATAAGAAATAAACTTTTATATATTTTTTAACTGTATATGACCATCCTTTATTTTTTCCCTTATGTAAATAAATAAACAAACTCAACACCAGTAAATGAACTAAAGTTTGAAATTAAATAACAGGTGGGGTCAATGCGTACCCATATAAGACGGTGGCATTGATTAAAAAAACAACTTTTATTTACTTATTTCAATAATATTACTGTCTTTAGTTATAAAATATAATTATTTCCAATTTCTAACCCTTATTCTATTTAAATATCGTTATAATTTCATAACGGTAAATTGAATCTGAGAGTATTTCGTTGAACCTACTGACATTATCATCATCATGAATTGCTCTACAACTCCTGCAGAGTCAAGGTCTCTCGCAATTTCAACCGCCGGTCCTCCAAGTAATGCCGCTGCCTTCCAGTTGTGGACACCAAGGATACTTCGGGCGTCGGCTTCCACTCCATCAGCCCATCTGAGTCTTGGCCTGCCCACCTTGTGGCGAAGATCCGCTTATCCATCAACTTCCTTAGCACATGTTGTTCAGACATACGGAGAATGTGTCCTGCCCATCTCAACCTGCCAATTTTCATTAGCCTCACAGCATCTGTTTCTATATATAGGTGCATCAGCTCATTCTTAGATCGAATTCGTCGCTCCTGATTAATATTTATTATTGGGTGGAATATTCTTCTTAGGACACGACGTTCAAATCGAAGGAGAGCGTCCAGCATTCAGACCCTCCTCATGTTATTACTGATATGTTAGTACTGGTCTGATCAGGGTTTTTATACATGAGCAGCTTGGTTTTATGAGAGATCACTCTACTTTTGAGATGTGCCTGAAGACCAAAATAAGCTCAATTTTGCTCAGATGCGCCTCTGTATTTCAGGATTCATGTCGTTATTTACATTCACTTGAGAGCCAAAGTATATAAATTCCGAGACATCTCCAAAAGTCATCCCTCCGATTTCTACATTTGCCTCTCTGTGGCCTCCGCCCTTTGGGTCGGCCCGCATAAACTTTGTTTTCTTCTCATTGACCTTTATGCCAATTCTGGCTGTTGTTCTTTGTAGCGCTAAGAAAACATGTTTTATAGCTGCCAGTGTTCTTCCAACCAATGCAATATCCTCGGCAAACTCGAGTAATTGCACTGAATGATTAAAGACCGTTCCACCAATGTGAATTTGGGATCTTCTAATGATACATTCGAGGGCATTGTTAAATAGGAGACACGCTAAGCAATCTCCTTGGCGCAGTCATTACTGCATTTCAAAGTAGTCCGACATATCGCCTTGGATTTTGACAGTGCATTGCACCTCCTTCATTTTCCCTTATTTCACGTATCAGTTGTACAAGTTTAGGTGGGACACCCAGGCCCTACATATCGTGGTAGAGTTCATCTCTTAGGATGCTATCACAAGCTCTCTCAAAGTATACGAAGAGGTGTTGTGTGCATATATTATACTCTCTTGTCCTCTCAAGGATTGTTCCAATAGCGAATATTTGGTCGACCGTAGATCCTCCTCGTATGAATCCAGCCTTATATATTCCTATTTCTCTCTCAGCGAACGGAAGCTGCTTCTGAAAGAGAATTCTTGAGTGAATTTTATACGCACACGATACCAGAGATATTCTACGATAGTTGTGGCAATCCCAGATACCACCTTTCTTAAGGATCGGGCAGATGATTGTCTTGTACTAATTATGTAGTAAAGCTTCTTTCACCCATATATCCATGATAACATTATGTATAAATCTTGTGAGTTCTTCCCCTTCATATTTGAACAGTTCCGAGGGTATCCCATCCGTCCCAGAGGCTTTATTTTTTTTTTCAGGAATCCTATGGCCTCTCCACATCTTTCATATCACTAGGCTTCAGATCGCCAACCGGCAGTTTCTGCCTCTCCACTCTACAGCAGGGGATATTGTCATTTAAGAGCCTTTGAAAATAGCATTAATCTGAGAGTATTTGGTTGAACCTGCTGACATGAGCTGACAGTTGTTTTTATTATATTAACAATCTTTAAAATTATGAAAAAATTACATGTTTTTTTCATCGATAAATGTATATGATAAATATGTATGCAATAAATCTTCAAAGAATTCCTAATCTTCTTATGGTGAACGGAGTCGAAAGAAACTTTTAGATCAAGATCGTGTAGAAAAAAAGTCCTTCTTCCGGTCCCATAAACGTTTCTAAGAACAAATATATGGACCTGAGCCCACCTATTGTTCTCTCAGATTTCGGTTTTAGTCAAACCTTAACAATTAATCTTAGGTTTCTTTTAAATATTCATGTGAATATTGTATATAAAACCAAATTGAGACCGATGGGCCGGTAGTGTTTTCATTCCGTTAGCCTGTTTTACTCGTTGATACGAATTATGACGTCCCTATGACCATCAGTAAGTGTTGTACTTCTTTTGCTGTTTTCTGAAAGTTCTCGTTCCAGAGTAATCCATCTCTTCCTTTTCTTTCTTCATTACCTTACCTATCTGGAGATTCTCTAGTTTAAATTTAAGTTCGATGTTTAAGAATATACTGTCTACGTTCCGATGTTCTTGAACGAGTTTTAAATAATTTTCCGCTCCATGTCTTTACCAAAGCTAGTCTGTGTGGAGAGTATCTTCTCTTATGGATAATCGACTCCTTTAGTCCATTTATACGGCAGGCCGAGACGTCGGGAAAAAATCTTGCAAATTATAAAATGAAACCAACATTATTGCCTTTTTCTGTAAATAAACACAGGTGAGATTTATGGAAATATAGGAATACATATCAATGTGCTATTCCATCCTTAAAATTGTAATGTAGAATAGGAGGTATTTTTTGTTATTCCAATGTTTATTGTAAATGTAAGTTCTGACCTCCTTTGTCGCAAACCTATGACTTCCTGTCCTATAGTATCTTTTAATAGTACCCCGCTTATCCTGGTTGAACAAATCCGGTACCTTGGACTCCACTTGAACAAACGTCTAACTTTGAATCCTCATACCAGACTTAAACGACAAGAAACCGCTCGGCGTTTCCGACTACTCCAGCACTTACTAGACAAACGCTCTAAGCTTTCAGTTAATTACAAAAGACTCATATACATGACTACAATAAGACCTATTTGGACTTACGGAGTTGATATTTGGGGGTCCACAAAGCCATCGAATTCCTCACGTTCATCCAATCCTTACGACCCAAAGTCCTTCGTAAAATCCTCAATGCTCCTTACTTTGTCACTAATAAAATCATCCATAACGACCTTAATGTTCTTTATGTTTCCGAATTGGCCCAATCCAGATACCTATCCTTCCATAATAAATTTGAGAACCATCCGAACCCTCTTTTTTCTAACCTTGCGCCCTCCTCGTCCCTGAAAACCTGAAAAAGAAGATAACCTCGAGATCTCCTATTGAAAATATATTTATTTTTTTTAGAGTGCTACCAGCGAGTAGTCTCTCAACAAGTGTTTTCATGTTCTGTTATCACATTTACTGAATGTATTTTTTCTTAATACAGTTGTAAATATCATAAATAAATAAAATATAATATAAAGTTCTGACCAATTTTAAATTTTTATTTCGTTGTACTTTTAACAGCTCACGTTGGTGTTTCGGCGAATTATTTTGAGCCATTATAGGTTATAACGTTACATTTTTCTTCCTAACTTTTCTCTTTCTGTTACACGGTAAATGGTGTGTGTGGCTTCATATCAAAGACAGACATGTGTCATTTTCAGAAAGCGGAGAAAAAGTCCATTTTTGTTTTAAAGATTCCACTCAAACTCTTTCTGTTGATTTTATTTAAGAATTTTGTAGTTGGATAAAAAAAAACTTATTATTATTGGTTTAAATTGATGTTGTTTAATGTTCCTAGACAGGAAATATGGGATGCATTGCAAGTTAGGATAATCCCACAAAATCTTATTAGTGCAATTAAGTCAGTGTACCAAGACCTTAAGGGAGTAATAAGGCCAGCCGGCACTGAGTCTAGGTCATTCCATTTCTTTAGGGGAGTTTAACAGGGCGATAGCCTGAGTCCCTTACTGTTCATAATTTTCATGGATGCCATTTGGAAATTTTGTAAAAGGAGGACATCCAGAGCAATAGTGGGATACTGGAATATGACCCCAGTGTTGACACAGGCATTGTTGTACGCAGATGATGTGGTATTGGTTGCGGATAATGCTGAATCGCTCCAGGTCGCTGTGAATGAATGGCAACTGATAGAACTGCAACTCAGAAGCATGCA